ACCCTTTCTTGATGCTCAGCCATGATATTGGCCACATTGCCTACAAATTCCCTTGATTTCCCTTCATCCTCCTTGCACTCAAGTAAAGTAGCACTACTCCTCTCATGATCCATCCATTGCTCATGTTTCTAGGCATTAAGTAATGGCATTTAACTCTTCACTTTGAGGCTCTTGTATAATACTCCCTTCGTATTATAATGTTAGTCCCATATGGAATTAATCAAATAAAATAAGAAAAGAAGAATATTTGGAATCTATTAGAATAAAAAATAATTCATAATTAGTTTACCTTATTTAAGTTTTTTTTACTTTTTTTTTTTTGGAAAGCATAAGTCATAATGCATAATTCAAGGTAGAGATTTTCTTACTTAGAGTCATGTCATCAATCCACTACCAATTAATTCCAAATAAAATAAGTAAAAAATGGAGCATATTTAATATGGGTAGATCTTTTTAAAACACCCAAAATAGTATATGACACTAACATTATGAAACGGTGGGAGTACTAGTTGTCGATAGGGCACTAATTGAAATGAGTGTAAATGCATGTTGTCATAGCTCATACTTTGATGAATATGGAATCATAGTTCAAGCCTCTTGTATTAGCACCCCTTGACAAAATGGGAGGGTGGGTCACAAACATCAACATTTTCTTCCTTCATTTTTTTATAGTTGTATCACTTTCATTTTTAAAATGAAAATTTTAAATAGTTGCATTACTATCCTTTTTAACAAATAAATTCTCTCTTTCTCCTATCATACGACCCCTATTTAATTATTTACTTATTTATTTATTTTCCTTCTACCTCTCTTTACCCCCAAATATTGCCTAATGATACAACTAAATAAAAATGGAGGAATTATCACTACTAGAAAACAGGCAAATAACAACGGAATAATTCCATTGGAAACACCCTGTTTTCCGACAGAATTTCCGTCGGAACTGGTTGTCGGAAAACAATTTATAGGGAAAACGGCCTTTATGGCGGAATTCAGTCTGTCGACGGAGATTTCTCGGCCCGGAAAAATCCGTCAAAAATTTCCGACGAAACATCCGTCGGAAAATGCTTTAAAAAAACAAAAAAAACGCCTCCCACCACACCACCAACTATTAGCCACACCACCAGCCCCCTAACCCGTACCACCAGCCCACACAACCCACTACCCACTACCCAACCACCAGAACCCCTACCCACCTAACCCTAACCCACCCAAATCCAAATCTACCACCCAAACGAACCCAAATCTACAAACCTAACCCTAACAAATTCGGCCGAACCACATCAAACCACCCCAACACCCACCTAAAATCACCGCCGCCGAAACAAACAGTCACAACCCAAAAATTAACAAATAAAAATAAAGAAAAAAAAATTAAAATCCCAACCCAACCTCCAAAAAAACCGAACTCCAACAGCCACCACAACCATATATATTCAAAAACTTCTAATAAAACAACATAATAATAAAAAAAAAAAAAAAAGACACATACCTTAATTCGACCACTCAAAACCTTGAAATTGGTTTACGAGACCAAATTAGACCATGACAAATCTAGATTTTTCATGGTCAAATTTGACTAAAAAAACCTTTGTTTTCATCAAGAGGAGAGTGAAAGGGCGAAAAAGGCGGAAATTGGTGTTGTTGATCTCGGTGTTTGTGGTGTTGTTGTCGATGTCGGTGTCGGTGGCGTTGTTGTTGCGGTGATGGTTAGTGTTGGCGGTGGTGGTGAGAGATATAAGGTGGTCGAAAGAGAGAAAGAAGAGGAGAAAAAGATCGAGAGAGAGCAGAGAACGAAAAAGGAGAGGAGAGAGAAGGAGAACGAGAGAATGAGAGGAGAGGAGAAAGAAGGAACGAGAGGAGAGAGAAGAGGAGAGACAGAGAGAAAAGGCAGAAAAGAGAAGGGTTTTAGGCTTTTCTAAAGGTGTTTATTTTTTTTCTTTTTTAAAAAAATTATACTCCGTTGGAAATTTCTGACGGAATGTTGTTTGTCTTTAGAAAAGGTAATTTCCGACGGAAAATTCTGTCGGAAAGTACAAATATTCCGACGGATTTTTATTCTGTCGGAATTTTCTGACGGAATTGTTGAATTCGTCGGAGATATCTGACGGAATAAAAATTTGTCGGAAATTTCGACTTTTCGGCGGAATAATGTGTCCGTCGGAACCAGTCCGACGGAATTTGACTATTTTCCAGTAGTGTATATAGGTTGTTCAACGATGTGATGTTCCAAGATGAACATTTGATCTCTTTATTGGGGGGAAAATGTGAGCTTAATATGTGTTATAATTGTACTTCCTCTAACTTACTAAAAATAAAAATAAAAAACTTCATCATATGAAATTCTTTTTGGCATGAACCGCCATTCTAAATGATTTGATGAAACGAGAATTTTAATTTGGTTCACTTTATTGTACATGCTTATGATCTTAAAAAATTAAATAAATAAAATGAGGGGGACAAGTTCAAAATTGCATTTGTTGAAAATGCATTTTGTTGGCCATCCTTAGGCTAAAAATAGTTCAAAATTGTAAGATTTTAACATGGGGAAAATTTTTAAGTCTCGGGATGTCAAGTGTCACCAAATGAATTTTCATTTGCAAATTAAAAACTAAACAAATGCCATTGACTTGAACAGTGATGATGATTTATGAGGGAATGAATTTGAATTTTTGGATGATTTTACATGTAAGTTTAATGAACTAGTTGTTGATATTAATGTCGATGACATAGATAATGTCTCCGTTTGGGGATTTTTAGAACAATGTCCTCTAGGTTGCATCATAACATGTAATGAAACTGTACAAAAATTAAGTCCGTCCCACAAATAAAGTTCGTCAATAACTTGCAAATACTCCTTAGTCCTTACCCTATAACACAGTATGTGAATTGTGATAGATTTTCTACGTGAAATCGTATATATCTTACAATGTTAAGCCTTGGACGTTTACTCAGCCATATAAGATCAGTGGTGTATGGAGAAAAGCAAAGCAAAAAGAAATTGGTGCTTCAGAGAATCAGAGGACATTTAGACTAAGACTCTGTTTGATTTATCTAATTTTATCCAAAATTAGTTTATTTAATTTTATCTAAGTTTATTTTCTTTTATCTAAATTATTGGAAAATTCTCTCTGCTAACCACAAACTTATATTTTTTCTGGTAAAGCCTAAAATAATCACGAATTAATAATACTAAGCTACTAGTAACATTAATGATATTAAAACACCATTAAACAATTAACCAGGGTTAATCTTAGGTTTAGTAACACTAGATTTACATTAATACCCTTCATATTATGTTTTTTTAAAAAACCAAGAAAATCCACACCCTCCCAAGCCACTAGCCAACTGCCAGCCCCCTCCCCTCGCCGGCGCTCAGCTCGGTCTGGCTGACGGCGTCTCAACCCCCTCCCTCACTGGAGAATCAGCCATCCTCCCTTGCCGGAATCAGCCACCTTCCCCCCCTTCCCCAATTCCCTCTAATCTCCTTCCCTGATTTTTGCTTGAAATTTGTAGGGTTTTTGGTGATTTTGGGGTTGAATTTGTTGATTATGGGGTCAAACTTGTCGAATTTGTTGATTTTGGGATCGTAATTGTCGATTTTTGGGGTCGAATTTGTCGAATTTGTTGATTTTGGGGTCGAATTTGTTGATTTTTGGGGTTGAATTTGTCGAATTTGTTGATTTCGGGGTCGAATTTGTTGATTTTTGGGGTCGAATTAGTGGTCGAAGTGTCGGGGTTTTGTTGTTGAATTCATTGGGGTTTGTTGGTTCGAATGGCAGCAAGTCGCCATCCGGAGGTGGGGGAGGCTGAACGCCGACGGGGGAGGAGGTGGCTGGACACCGTCCGCGTTGAATTGCTTCATGAATTTCAGTCGATTGCTATGATCAAGCGAGAGGTTATACTGCGCTAAAGCTGCGTCACTCTGAGTTTGCTCTGGTTCCAACCTTAACAAGCGCAGCGGGAAGGAGGAAAGAGAAGGGAAGAAGCAAGAAAGAATTATGGAGGGGGAAAGGGAAAGGAAGAAGAAAGAATTGGTTGGGGGTAGTTATGTCTTTTTACAGTCTAATAGCTAAACCATGGTAAAGGAATTAACAAATTGTTTAACTTAAGTTACCATTAACTTAGTAATACTAATTGGTGATTATCATTGATAATCACAAGTTATAGGCTTTACCAATGAAAAAAATTAAAAATTTGTGGTTATCAGAGATAATTTTCCTAAATTATTTTATTTACTTTATATAAAATTATTTTATTTTACATAAGCCTATTTTAATTGAATTTTCAAAACTTATATTGTCTTTAACATATTTTATTTTATTGTATTATTCAATATGAACTTAGCCATATTTATTCTCACAAAAATAAGATAAAATAAATTACAACTAGAAATGAAGGTTGTAGGTTGCAAATGGGTTTGCTAGATCAAACATAATGCAATTGAGAAGATTGAGTATAAAAACGATTAAAGACAAGTAATATGAGTCAAACTACACACATTACAATACCTACTACAAAGGTACAATAATTACGTACAAAATAATACTTTGCACCAAAAAATTATTACAAAGTACAGAATAATACTTCGAAAGACAATGTGTGAATAGTGTAAAATTTCAAACATTGCGATTAAAAAAACAAGAAGGAAGTATACTAATTTTATGTACTCGTAATGAATAGCATGTTACATCGACTAGTTGGGCCCAGTGGCGGACCCAGGATTTTCCGACTGGTGAGTCACAATCGATAATCAAATATGTTAAAATTTTTTTTTTACCAAACAACCAAATAATAGTACTAAAAAATACATCCAAATATTCAAACAGTACAAAATACAACCAAATGTTCATATAATACTACAAAAGACAACTAAATAGTAATGCAAACTTATTAAAATAGTTCTCGACGAGTTTTCATGTTTTGATATCGATTCATGATATCTTCCATGCTAACATTCAAAAACAAATCATTCTCCAAATAAGTAATTAAACAATCATTCAACATTTGATCTCCCATGCTATTTTGAAAACAACTTTAGAATATTCAGGATTACCTTTGGAAATAAGGGATAAAAGTGAAAGAAAGTTACCTCTTCTTAAGGAACTTTCTTTTTCATCATGACCACGGAAAGGCAACCCTTGGAGTAAAAGCCATTGGATAGATTCAATTGAAGCTTCAAGTCGCGTCCTATATGCATTTGTACTCTCAGCGGTTTGTTTTGTTAAGGCTTGTGTGATGCTTGAATTTTGTTTCTTGAACAAATCCATAGCTAAAACAGCATTATTATGTGCACTCAAGTGTTTACCGACATGTTTTCTTATTAAATCCGATCGATTCCATGATTTGAAACCATCACTAACAAAAGCATCACCTCCAAAGGCATTTTCATCCTTGAATAGATAACAAGGGAAACAATAGGCAGCATCCTTTTCCACACTATACTCAAGCCAAGTCCAAGTATCAAACCACTTAGCACAAAAGCGACGATTTTTGCCAAAAATAGAAGTTTGAGGAAATGTAAAGTCTTTGGGCTGACAAGGCTTTCTTTGAATGTAAATTCTTCTCACTAAATCTCTATCATCTTTATGAAATTGACTCATTTTTCTCCTCTTTCCTGGATCTTGTGGAAGATTAGCAAATTCATGTTCACTTAATCTTTCTCCAAAGATTGGGGCATTAGGAGAACATTGGCCTTGTTCATTTTGAGGGGAATTTTGAGTTGAATAATGAGATGGAGATGAAAGTTGCTCACTTTGTTGAGGTGGAGTTATAGTTTGTTCATTTTGTGTTGGATGTGGAAGAGAAGTTGGAGTAGGATTTTTTTTAGTAAAGAAGCTAGTAATGTTTTGCATTTCATTTGGAGTATGTTTTCTCTTCATTCTGAAATTTGAATAAATATTGAACTAAATCAAGCAATATTCCCCAGAAAAATTATTTGAATAAATATTCAACTAAATGGTCTAAATCAAGCAATTCATAATGGACACCAGTCAGACAAGGGAGCTAGATCAAACGCAGCCAGATATAAAAAGAATCAAGTAATAGACTCTGTGCATCAAATATATATCTAAAATCAAGGGATCTCATAAGAGACTTTGACCCAAAGATCAACAGAAAAGATATCCAAATTTGACAAGCCAAATACTTTACATAACATGTGTAACAGTGTAAGCACCTTTTAATGGGAAATAAATAATCAAATGTCTACATACTTAAGGATGGGAAGCACAATAAGCGGAGTGAATCATTAGATGATTAATTAGCACAATTCTATTCAAAATGACAATCAAATAAAGAAGCAGGAACATTAAAGTATTTGAATACCAAGTTTCATACCCTAATTTAAGTGTAATATCGGATGAGGAAATGTTTTCGTTTAGGTAAAAAACAATAAATATGATCAAAGAGAGCTTTTTTTTTAAGTGTAATGAAAATGGAACATTATGAGATCCTCTTCACGAGGGGAACACCTAAATATATATTGGAGGGTATTGTTGAAATGATTTAATAGTGTAAGATTGTTATGTAAATACTTTGATCAACGATTCTGAAATTTGCTACGTGACTTTTAATTGAAAATAAGCTAGGTTAGGGTAATTTAGATTATTGTTTTTAGTTGGGGACGTGATTTTATAATTACTTTGCAATAGTTTTAGTCACACTTAGCATTTTTTTTATTTTGTGGTAAGGACACTTATCACTTCTTACTTAGAACTGTAGAACTAATAATCTTTGGAATCTAATAAACAAAATGGTTTTGTAACAACTAACAAATGGGGAAATTCCCGTTACTCAAGCTGAGTAACAAGAATTAGTAAAGATAATGTGGGATTGCTTGGCATTTTTGTCAATTTCTCACAGCATTAGTAAAGATAAGCTAGTGGTTGGATGATGCCTAAAATAATCGAAAACCAATTGAACAAATAAAGACAAAAAAATCGAAAACAAATCAATCAAATAAACCCCAAAACAATCGAAAGCCAATCGACCAAATAAAGTCAAAAAATCGAAAACAAATCGATCAAATAAACCCCAAAATAATCGAAAACCAATCGACCAAATAAAGCCAAAAAATCGAAAACAAATAATGATCAAATAAACCCCAATAAAAACGAAGCGATTTTGCTGAAATACACCCACAAAGATTGAACCAAAAAAATTCGAATACACATTGATGATTGAACATGTCGAAAACAACAGGAACATATATGCAAAAATCCACGACAATCAAACCCAAAAATTTGAAACTAAATCAAGACAGAGAATGAGAGAAACAAGATCGAACCTGATAAATGTGACGATGGGAAAGTCAATTAGTCATCTTCCACAACCTCGGACGCGAAGTCACGAACAGAAGAACGGAGATGAGCCGATTAACAATGGAGGCGATTAGGCGGAGAAGGCGAAGTCACGACTCACGATTCACGAAGAGAAGAATGGAGGCGATTAGGCGGAGAAGGACTGAAGGAGAAGGAGAAGCCAGAGCACGAAGAGGCGATTAGGCGGACTGGCGGAGAAGGAGAAGCCAGAGCACGAAGAGGCTAGGGCTTGAAACTTTGAAAGCCTTGAACTCTCCGTCTCTCCTGTAAGGCTGTAACTGATTTTAATTTTTTTTTTTTTTTTTTTTTTTTTTTTTTTTTTTTTTAAATAACTTAAAATTTTTTTTTGGGCCTGGTGAGTCACTTGACCCACCAGGTCTAAGCCCAAGTCCGCCACTGGTTGGGCCTCGTTCCTCCAAACTATTACATTAGCTTCGAAAGACTGCATGGGTATCAACAAAGAGAACAGGGAAGACGCAATGTGATTTACTTCTTGCTCAATTGAAAAGGTTTATCACTTGTGTCTTCACCCTAGTATTCATATTATTAACTGCAACCTTGTGTAATCGTTTCCAAAATTTAGATCAAGTATGTTTGGAAATTCTAGCTCTCCTTTGTTTAATGCAAAGATCAAGATTTAATTATTCCATAACATTGTTGAATTTCCTGGATATATATGGAACCGATGCATGGCCTAGGAGCACACACTCAGTCTCCATGGAATCATGGACCATGGTTATGGATTCGAATCCTTGGAAAACAGTGTTTACTTTCGATAGTATGCTATCTGAGCCAAAAATGTCATGATCCCATGAGGAAATTTCCCCTAGCCCCAGAAACTAAACATTGGGTATATTGCCTACCTATGTGCATCTTGGAGCTCCTTGTTCTTGCCTTCTTCGGATCCAGCTTTAGAGCAATCACAAATTCCATAATCCTGCAAAAGCGCAATATCAGCATCTCATTAATCAGAATCCAAGCCAACCACACCTTTTGAGCCATAAATTGTCACTTAAAGCAAAAAAATAATTGAACGAATCAAACCATAACTTATGAAGATACCAAAACTAACCAATGTGAAACATAAGTTTCACTTTTCCAATTATAATCATACAACATAACAAGATTTTTAATACCAAAACTAACCAATGGAAGCACTGTATCTGATTTAAATGTAACAAGATTTTTAATACTAATTTGAAACATACAACGTTTAGTCTGTAACAGGGCTAAGAAATAGTGGAACAGCAACATATTTCAGCCCGGTAAGGCGGTAAGGTGCCTTTCATCCCTCAGGATGTTCCAAGCCAGGCCAGGGCATATGGAGTGACAATCAACTTGTTCAGTATTTGACATATTTCATACCCAAACAGCTGCAGAAGCTAAGAAAATTACATTGCCTGAGTAGGTTAATGACTAATACATGAATGCAGCCAACACTCAACTAAACCAGCATGCTGCTCCTAGATAATGTCCCCTTTTGACAGCTTCTGCTCCCTTCGCTTTGATGTCGAGAAACTTCTTTTCATTTTTGAGTGTTCCCTACAAGTTATGCAAATTATATGCAAAAACAAAACAAAGGTAAATTCGGCCAGACTAAATGCTTTTTTAAATAATTGAGTAATACGAGTACACCTCTTTGCTTGCTTCAGAAGACATAATAATTACACGCATGATCCAATCAGGAATAAATTGGATTGGAGTACTCACAGGGAATAGAGCCGTGACAGCTGCACGATTGCCCAGTTTTACAATGAAGGAGAAAAGAGAGCAATTATATCCGAAAGACAGCCAATAACAGTACCTATTAGGCATTTAATTGAATTACACCAACGGCATGATGCTAGGAACTGACATGATTTCTGACATGATTACAGCACTAATAATGGCAGAAATTAAGAAGGAAGATGATTGTTATAGTATTAAGATGAGAATGACAGCAGATTGGATGATAATTCCACTTTCAAGAGGTGGAAGTCCCTCCCAATATGAGCTTTCAAGAGGCTCACTCTCTCCCAATAACAAACCACTCAATATTCAAATAACTTTCTTCTTCCTAATGAGGCCTATTTATAGAAAATACCTTCTAACAAACCTCTAGCTTATTCCCCAAGCTACTACTAGTAGACTATGACTAACATGCCCTTCCCTTAATATTGATCCTTGCACATGACAGCTCACAACAACTTTTCTTCCTAGAAGAGCATAGATTAGTCCACTACATAAGATAAAATGGAAAATTCAAACTATTCTGCAACATCCAGAAATTTGAAGTAGCCGAACAGTATTTTTTTAAAAAGACTTGAATTGAATCATAAAAAGATGATAATGTATAAACATAACATATATGTTAAACTCATACCCACAATTGGTAATAGTTTATTCGCATGAAGAGCAACCATATGTTTGAAGAAATGAAAGACCATACCACACGCACACGCAAAATAAATAAAAAATAAAAAATAAAATAAAAATAAGGGTTCAACTCGATGGATACACACTTACAACACTTTCAACTCATATTTTCCGTATATATTTGGGTTTGTTGCAACGAACCCAGAGACTCGGCCACGTGGCATCATAACATATGCTAGGAGGGGCAAGAAAGGGTGCAAGGAGCTGTTAAGAGAGTAGTGGAGCAGCATCAATTTCAGTGCAGCAACATTTGACTGATGTATTGCGGGAGGGGTGGGCGTATCTTTGACAGCTTTTGTCTGTTGTCGTTTTGGCTGCTTGTACATATAAAAAGGGGTAGAAGGGCATGGCTTAGGTAGCTTGTTGGATGTATTAGAATTGAGAAATTAGTGACCTGAAGTCACCTTGAGAGAGTAGTGGCCACAAGCCACTATTGTAAGAAAGCTTCTGTCTTTATTAATCAAACAGCCTCCTTCCCTCATTTAGATTTCTTTTGCTTTGCTTGTTATTGTCTTATTTCTTGCTTGCAGTAGTAGTTCGTTACACATGTCTAAGATCATAATTTTCACCCCAGGCACTCAATCTTAGTAGAGAACATATCAACTTCATCCTTTCCTCCATTCACAACAATAACATATTGTCCCATTCATGACATAGTTACTGATTTCCTCTCTAAGTTCACAGTTTAAATTGGTTATAGCTACTTACCTTCTTCTTACGGTTGTAGATCAATAACAAAAATAGCATCATAAATGAATCTCAAATTCAAATAATTCAAAAAATATATTATAAAACAGAAAATTTAAGATACGAATTTTCAAATAATTAACCTTCTTCTGCTTTCCACCACCAGGTTTACCCTGCTTTGATGAAGGTACAGCCTTAGTATCTTTCTTCAGAGCCTGAAAATGAATCAAAAAATAGCCGAAAAACGTAAATCAAACTGAAAATCAAAGAGCAAATTACTGTAAATGGATGAGAGAGATGAACTGAGTACCATTGAGAGAGAAAAATGTCCAGAAAGGTAGGATAGAAGAAGAAAATGGTGAAGCAGGAAAGAGGAAACAGTGAAATACGAGTAGCTGGCAACCATAAGGTTAAGTACACTGTATGCCATTTCCCTGCAGACAACAAGAGGAGGGGCAGAATGTTCCTTTTACTGTTCCTAAGAACAGTAGCAGAAGTTTACGCTTATAAAGGGTGTAGAATAATGTAAATAATTTTATCTGACTTTAAAAGTAAAAAAATGCGGACATTGCATGAGATTGATAAATAGTAATGTAAAATCAAATGCCAAATCATCAATAAAAGCTCAAACTAATGCTATATTGTGTTTATTATCCAAATCAAGTATTCATGTCTGACAATAAATTACATTTCGCAAAGCTCTAAAAATTAGCATACAAGAGAACCAAAAATGGCAGAACACATCCTATAATAAGCTGCAAGCTAGCCGTATGCAGAATTTATTCTACAACTTATCAAGTAGTTGATTCCAGTTTGAAACGATCACCGAGCCACAGCTACGTTGTGTTCTTGTGTTAGAAAAATCAGACAACTAGATTCCCACGAAGTCATATACCTGTGCAGTTAAACATCAAAGCTGTCAATTACAATATTCACATGAAAAACAGAATAATTTGATGAGACTGCTTCAGTTAAACAAAAAAGTAAGATCACCAAAGTAGAAGTGAAAAAATTTCAATATTTACCATGATTAAGTGAAATGGATAAATGATGCTGCGTATCCATGTGAAGAAAAGAAAAGGCATAATCTATAAATCTGAAAATCAATCTTTCACTCTGCATTTTCTTTTTTTAGCTCGGCCAGGAAAGTGATCTTGAGTTACAGAAAGAGCATCTTGGAGCATCTTTTCCCATAAAATTTTAAACTGACTACGGAATTCCTTCTGAAACCAGTCCAGTATTTCTGAATACAACAGCTGAGGATCTTCAATCCATGCTGCTTTTAGCTTGGCACAGCTATCAATTGCTCTCGACCCAGTCAACTTGCTTATAAGATTGCCCACCCGTTTTTGACCCAATGCTTCTGGCTTCAAGATGTTGATTGGTTGGATTGCCATGTAACACTTGTAGGGTTTTAGGCATGGTAAGACTTGACCATCAAGCAAAGCATAAGCAAAGACAGTTATACGCTGTTGAGTATCTTTGATTGGCACCTTGTTTCGTGGGAGTTCCCATAAGTGAGGACCAAAATATGGGGTAACATAACAAAATACTTGATCATGAAGAGGATCATAAAAAGGTTTTGGATCTGCCAAAGGTGCTGAATATGTGCACAAGGAACCGGCATGTTTCACTAGCCACTCTGACTTCACACTTGTTGCTTCTTGAATGAATGGTCTTTTCGTACAAACAATATCTGTATACACCAAAAATTCTGGAGCTGCTTTAGAGACAGAAGAGGAGCGATAAAGAAACACTGTTTCTTTAACCAAGGGTGCCTGATACCGATTAGCATTGATTCTTCTATCTCCAGATGATAGTACACTGGCTCCTCTAATACGCTTGGCAACCCTATCTGCCCATCCAGCACATATAGCTTGGCATAAGATGTTCTCCTCATTTTCCGAGAGGGGAATCTTATCAGAAGAGACACTCCAATCATCTTCCACATCTTTAATGGTTCCATGAGGCCATGAAAAGTCTTGCTCCACATCACAATATCTCTGTTTGAAGACTAACTGTAATAGTTGCTTTCTCAGCTTGGACATTTCTACCATAGTTTTTAGGTGTAGTGTATTTTCGGTGCAAAATTGAGATGGATCCTTAGATTGCTCAAAACACTGTAATGCATAAGCTACAGTTAAAGCATCACTCTTAAGGTTGGAGAATTTTGCACGAGAAAGCTTAATGGTTTTTTTCATTTGTTTCCGCGATAGCTTGGTATCCTTGTCTCCATTTTTCTGGCTGCTGGCAGAACCAGAACCATCTTCCATCTCCGTGCCCTCAGAATTTTTTTTATTTCCATCAAACTGAAAAGGAAAGGGATTTGGCGAGCTCATGGCAGCAGCTACAGCCACTGCATAACTTAGAACTAGATTTGGCCGTACATCACTTTTCTCCTTTTTTGTGATCTGTATTGCAAGGAGGAGCAACCTCGCGTGCCGTGGGCTCAAGGGAAAATGAGCCATTGTCTTGCCCAAAGGTGTCAAGCGCCCATCACTATCAAGTGCTTCAAGAGCCTTTAAGCATTTCTCCGCTTTCACTAATGCAGTGGCATCAGGAGAGGTTGGGAACGGAAAATTGACAACCTGAAACATACAGAAATATAAAGATGTAGAACATTAGCAAAGCTGTTGAGTAGAATGCAGAAGATACAAATCAGCAGAATAAACACGATAACATACTAAATAGCTGGCATAAACCTATCCAATTAGCATAAACCTATCCAACTAGCATAAACCTATCAGCTACATACTAATGTAGTTCCAGTGTAACAGACTAAAGCTAATAAACTCTAGCGATAAAATTTACTCAACTATAGATGTCAATATTTCATAGTTCCCCAGAATCATACACCCAGAGTTAACATAGCTGTCATTTTGAAAAATTCCATGGCAGGTACTATAGAGTTACCATATATAGTCCCAGAAAGACAAATCAATACCGATAAATTAAGGAAACACGTAGGCCCGGGATTCTACCATACAAATGGAACTGTTAATTACCCAAATTGCAGCAACGTCTCACATCATAAAAGAAAAGGAATTTAAATTAACTCAAACACCCAAAAAAAAAAAGTTATTTCATACAAAGTACTTTTTTGAGCCTCCTCTTTTCTCTTTTCCACAATTCACTCATCCATTCCCAAACTATATCTCAAACTCAGCACCAAAGCAGATCCACAAAATCAAACACCAAAAAGCAGATCCACAAAATCAAACACCAAAAAAAAAAAAGAAGTTATTTCATACGAAGTACTTTTTTTCAGCCTCCTTTTTTCTCTTTTCCACAATTCACTCATCCATTCCCAAACTATATCTCAAACTCAGCACCAAAGTAAATCCACAAAAATTCAGCTAATAAAATAAATCAATAGAACAAGTTTTTAAAAATTATCACAGCTAAGTCCATACTTACAAAATTTTCAACCCATTAAATACAAAGTTTCACCCCTTAAAAACTTATAATCCAGGCAACATTTTCCAATACTATATATAATATATTATGTTGGTCAGGAAATTGCAGCCTTAGTTGAACGCATTGCTAGACTTCCCATGTTAAATCTGGGCAAGTAAGAAATGCTGGTTCCTTGTTAGAATGATGGGTAGTTTTACTATTTTGTAAAGGATCAGGGAAGGAGATAAAAGAAAAACAAAGAGGAGATTAATGAGAGAACATTGATTTAGGTTTGGTTTCAGACGTGGAAGTTGGTTGATCATCTTGTTGATAACATAACAAAGATTTAGTGTTACTGTTCTGTATGATGGATCAAAAGAAATGTTCAAAACTCAGGATAGGGAGAAGAGGGTAAGAGGAAAGTGGAGTAAATAAAGTTGCATAATAAATGTTAAAAATGGAATATAACTTTTATTTGTAGTGGAAAATAATACTTGCAGAGTAAAACAGACAATAACTTTTTAGGTTCTGAAACCTTAGCTGAAAAAAATGAGGTCAATAACCCTAAGCTTGGTGAAAATTTAAGTTAATAAAGTGACTTAACCCCCTCTCACATTTCTAGTAAAAAAAGAAAGCATTTATCATTTACTCCCTGTTCTTTATTAATCTTCCTACACCCCTTCCGAATTTGTCTTCTTTATCCTCTTACTTGGATATCTTCCTTTCATGACCCCGTTTTTTTTGTTTTTTTGTTTTTACTTTACCCCCACTTTTTCAATCAAATTCCCTCTTTTCCATTCATATGACCCCCCCCCCCAAAATTATCCATTCAAAGTTTAAATTGGCCAAATATGAATCTATTTAGCTCTTCCTATCCTCCGTATTTTCCCCTCACAATCCTAGTGAGAGGATTCAATAGTTGAAGAAAGAATTGTTATAATAGTTTCAGGCACACTATGAGGACAAAATAAAGTCTATACATCTTCAAATGAAAGAATAATAACTCACATATGGCGTCAAATCTACCATCTTTATCCACCTTAATCTTAATCTTAATCCATATAGTAGGCATTTTACTACTCCAAAAATAAGATAATATATGATGACTAATTGACCTACTACACAACATCTTCAAATCAGAATTATCATCAAAAGTAAACATGTGCATATTAAAACTCACCTTAGTAATTTTCATGGATTTCAGACGGAGGACAATATCATCAACAGGAACTTTCAAAATTTCAGGACATGAGAATTCTGGGAATTCATTACACATGGCTGCAGAAGAATAGAGGCGATAACAGCGACCAGGTCCTGTTCTTCCCGCTCTTCCAGCACGTTGTTTGGCTGACGCCTGACTTATCCACTGTATTTTATATGATTCCATTTCATTCAAGGGGTTATATTCCTTTACTTTTTCCCTTCCAGTGTCAATCACATATCTTATTCCTGGAATTGTCAAAGAGGTCTCAGCTACATTGGTGGCAACAACTACTAGACGCTCCCCTTCTTTGACCTTTTCAAACACACGAAGCTGAGAAGCTGCTGGAAGCATAGCATAAAGAGGCAAAACATGTAATGGCCCAACGGGGCCCTTTTTCTTTCCTTTTTTCTTAATTGAGCTGAAAGCCTGGTTTGAACAAACATCTTGAGTTGTAACATTTAGTTCTGTCTTGTTACTTGATGTTTTAACACTCTGATCTGCCAAAGCTTCAAAAGAAGCCTTTAAAGAATCAAGGTTTACATCTGTGAAATCCACAATGCTATCATCCAATTCAGAAGTCTTCTGATCTTCAAGATTTTCATCACTTTCAAATCCTGACTCACTATCAGACCCCGAACTGCAGGAAGAATATGTGTTACTGTTGTCTGATTCATCATGTCTCTCATCATAACAACTAAACCTGTCTGTTTGTTGTTCAACAGAGCTTGCATCAAAATTAAAGGCTTCATCAATCTCTTTCAAAGTACACCCATCAATTTGGCCCATCCTATCCATTGTAGTTGTCTTGGTCTCTGTATTAACTACATTCCTTCTGGTTTCAAATTGCTTTGAAGCTTGACGAAGCATACGACACAAATCCTCCACTTCCCGTTGGCCAGTAACAAACACCAGTATGCCACCAGAAGCCAACCCCCTCTTGTGAATTTTGAAGACCTTCCTATAAGCTTCACCAATATAGTCTGTAAGCTCTGTTTTCTTTGAGAAGTGTGTTGTTACAGTAAACTCTCTCCCTGATACATGTATAACAGGTGTGGATTTAGGGAATATCCGGCCTCCTGAAGTGAAATCCTCAACCCTCATGGTAGCACTCATCAATATAAGTTTCAAAGGGAAAACTCTGTCTTTAGTCTCAACATTTTTCCCTCCATCAAGCACCTTCTGCTGCATTTCATATATTTCCTGTAACAATATAATAAGTTCTATGAGATTGAGCTAGAGAAAGATGAATAAATTAATAAATTGTAAATGAGGCTTTTGCCCACAATGAGTTTCATGATGTGAATTTATATAGACCAACTCAATGGATTGAAGGACTCACGCATAGAGTGTGTGCACAGGGTGTAAGGCTATCTATATAGACTAACTCTTGCAATTAGAAGAGCCATGGCATACTCTCCCCTTAAGCGTGCACAGAGTAAGCCACTTGGAGAAAGAGGTGAAGAAAATCAGTGATAACAGCTTATGTAAAGAAAGGAGCATCAATGAAAAAACACAACAGGGACTTCAATTCTGATTTTCAATGCTCTTGTAAACCAAGTACTTCAATAAAAATCACCTGGCGCTGCTTAACGACACGAGAAAGCATCCCAATGAGAATGTCTGTGTTTAGGCTCCTTTCATGAGCCTCATCCAAGATAATGACAGAGTAACGCTTCAACAAGAAATCACCCATCTGTATCATCAAATGATAGAAAGTTATATAACGCAATACCAGAAATCTTGAACCTGACCAAAGGAATTTATGCAATAAAAAAAAATATATTAAAAAAAAAAAAAAAAAAACTTTGATTATTATGTAGATCAAAATTTTACAATTTTAGGGTATGGCTTATTTTAAGAATTAAAGAAGTTCTCAATGTTTTCAGGTTATTAGTCAAACTGGTACGGCAAAGTGGCTTAGTTACAATAAATTTGCTGTTCCTCAAATATGGACATAAATTGAGTTTTGCATGGGAAATGCATGGAAGTTTACATAAATAGGTAGCATCAAGATACTTGGGTTGATAGCTATCACTTATTTGTGTGTAATACAATTAAATGAACAGGATCAGTGCTCAAAAAGGTGTTTTTTTGTTTCGGGAGCAGTGACTGGCAATATTTTGTGCAGCATCATCCACAAAGAGCTTCCTAAATCCTAGTTATTTTAAATTTCATATTTTTTTTGCAATTTATTCGCTAAAATTCCATCCTTCAAAACAGAAGAAGCATAAATTAACAAAATAATCACTCTATTCAAGATAAAAAGAGCAGTTTCCATTACCTTATCAATCAACTCTTACCTCTCCTTATAGCCCCATTTTTTTCTTTCTTACAAAGTTTATAGTTTTCCATTGAAACAAAAGTAACAATACTCCACCACCTCCTAATCCTATCACATCTACTTTAACAAGAAAAGACACAAGAATTGTTTTACAGGCTAGCTCTCTAAATACTCTGCAAAGGCTAGCGCTGCGATTACTCTAGGACACATAGATGATAATCCTGCAAAAAAAGCCATTGCAAATTTACAACTCCCATCAAAGCAGAAATACCACCGGTATATACTATTTTGATGACTGAAGAACCATTTACATTTACATTTACATTTACAACTCCCTCCATCCATGACAAATGTTCCTATTATATGAATAAATTCAACTAACCTTCTTAAAACTCCGTAAAAGTCAACGTTTTATTTATTTAAACATGGAAGGAGTAAATGAATTCTTAAATCTAGCACTTATTAATTATTGTATATATGTTCCGTATCTTGTCTCCATGACTCAGGATACTCCCTCCGTACCCAAGAGTTGTCTTTTCATTTTGGTTTGTCCCATTGTGTTGTATGGTAATTAAGTAAATATTTGCCAATCGATTTTCTGGATTCCCACTGTACTAGAATGCTACCGGTTCATGTCCACTTACGTAATGTAGTTAACATCTGAATGTAGACATGAATAACACACACACACACACAAAGGGAAAAAAAAAAAAAAAAAAAAAGGAGCCATATAACATATGATGAATAATTTATTATTGATGTTAAAAAGCACAGGTAAGTAGGAAAACTAAAAACCTGCAGCTCTCGAAGTAGGATCCCGTCAGTCATATATTTGATGGAGCAGTTGTCTCCATACCATTTTTCATGCTTGACTTGAAAACCAACTTCTTTACCAAAAGTAAGTCCAAGCTCATATGCTACACGTCTAGCTGTAGAAAGCACAGCAACACGACGAGGCTGGGTTACACCAATAACACCACCTTTCATGGAACATTCTCCTGAACCATAGCCAGCTTCATAGAGGAACTGCCAATTGCAATTCAAAATAGGGGATAAGATGAGATATAGCAAAAAAATGCGCAATAAATGCAAGATAGCCTTTCTCCATCTCACCTGTGGAAGTTGTGTGGTTTTGCCACACCCAGTTTCTCCACTGATAATCACACTACTATGACTATTTATAGTTTCCATTATCTCCTGCTCCATCATAATAATCGGGAGATCCATTCTTGCATTTTCCACATCAATTGGCCGCGACACATGTACCACGGTAGGGGCAATTCGAGGTCCTGCAATGGGATTGCCTCCTACGCATTTTGCTCCATAAGAAGCAACTTGAGGCTCATCATTGAATTCACTCTGAAGCATCAACACAATTTTATTGTCACGATAAATGCTGGAATAATTATAGAAAAGTGTTTCACTGTATGGAATTAAGCCTTCTTGGACTCTTACATATCTTGCTTGTAAAATAAAAAATAAAAAGCCCACCATTGGCAATGGCAATATAAAGATCCTAAAACTCAACATGATATCCAAGTGGAAAGCATGATATCAAACAGTCTACATACAATACTAAGACCTGTTCCATTCTTTTGTAATATTCAATTTTAATGGCTAGTCATTTGTTGAGCCATCTAATCTTAGAAAAGGAGATGCATGATGGAGTTCAAAATCTAAATTCAAACAGAGCACATTTAAATATCATGCGTGTTTAAGCTCAGATCTCCAAACATGCAACTCCTCAGCACAGATAAACACAGATACGTAATTAAAGCCTCAAACTCCTGCTTTGTTTTGCTGGAAGCCCAAAATATGGCAAGAACTTGAGTATAAACATGCAATTATATCACTCTAGTATTCAAAATGACATATCAATTCTAGTAGATCAGAGGAGGAATTAAAAAAAAAAAACATATACAAATCACATAAATGCTGGTACAAATGCTCATCACTCCAAACTAGCAGAAATGGTGTCAATTCTCATTCTGGGATGAGCTAATATGAACTACCCCACCTTCCCTTTACAAGAAAGCTTCTTGAAAACACTCTTATACAGTGCATCACAAATATTCTGTGAAAGGGAAAACAATCAGAGTAATTGAAAAGCATCCATATAAGTCAGCTGACATACTAACCTTTGTAGCAACAGATTTCTTGTCACAATCAGAAGACTGAGAGAGTGATGAATTCCTGGAATCTAGATTCATGACTTTGCAACTATCTTCATTAGTTACCTGAACCAATTCTTTAGGCTCGGTTCCTCCACGATCACCAACAATTTGTTGCTCACCTGCCCCTTGAGAAGAAACAGAGCAAGTAGAACCGTTTGTCTCTGCTCTTTCAATAAGCACTGGTTTGTAAGTGGCATTCTTATCAGCATCCTCCAACGGAGAGCTTTGAGAATCATCAGGTTCATAATCACATGACTTAACTTTCTTTCTCTTGGTCCCCATATCACTTACTGGTAAATCTAAACCAGCCTTAGAAAACTGCATTTCCCTCCTACGCTTCTCCTTTGCTGTCTCCGCCTATCAAGCAATAAGACCAAATCAAGACCCTTGAACAAAAGTAATTGTAACATGATCATCTTATACTATCTATGTTCCGAACAGATGGATAACATCTAAAAAAATTTACATGATCAAAGAATTTTTTTTAGATGTTCCAATTCCCATTATGTACTCATTTTTGCTTATCACTACATATTCAAGCAATATTATACATTGGTTTACACATGGTTTCTTATCATTAAGGACTATTCCTTTAATTAAACTGATATATTAATGTGACGAGATTAATTTGACGGCAAACAAAATCAATTTCATTATGGTATGCAAAATTACTTTAATTTCAAAAAATTAAGTATATAATTCATCCAAATTGGAGCTATGACACGTCAAAACCAATAGATATTGACAAGTTAAAGATGTGATAAGATGATATAATAATTCAATTCAAATAAAACTCACCTGACCAATGTTCTCCGATGATCGGAGAAGCAAATATGCATTGTCACTTATCTTATACTTCCTGAAATTATAAATTTCAAAAAATTAACATGAAAAATTAAAACCCATAAAAAACTCACTCATCTTACAAAGTATATACATACTCTAAGTTTTCCAAGCTTTTCGACAGCAGTAATTCCTGTTCTTTCTCTTCCTACATAATCACACCCAAACCCAAATCATATATAAAATCTTTAGAAAAATTTACTGCAATAACAATATTATGTCATAAAAAAGTAAAATTTACCTCTAATTTCCTCAATTTCCTTTTCTGGGAATTGCTCAATTTTTTATTTTGACAGCTTATAATCGGCTAAAACACCCAAAAAAAACAAATATCAACAAATTGATTGTAAACTTAGTAAAGCTACTCAATAAAAAATAATACCTTCGATTTCGATTTCGGCTTTCGGTTTTTTGTCTTAGCAGGCAAAATTAGTGCATTGCTATCTCCAGAATCCATTCTATCAAAACAAACAGGCCCGTCCCTGAGGAAGGGCAGGAGGGGCGGCAGCCCTGGGCCCAGGGAAAAGAGCTCTGATTTCATAGTTGAATCATAACATTAAAGTGTTGTGCAATACATTAGCAACCAAATTTGTTTCAATTATCTCATAATTTTAGGGATATTTGATTCAATTATCTCATAATTTTAGGGATATTTGATATGATGATAACAAATACAAACAACTTACCTCAGAAAGCTGCTTCAATGGGTGATACAAGAACTAGATTCAATGGAGAACGGCAACTGCGCTTCAATGAAGAACGTTGAATGCGCTTCAATAGAGCAATTCAATGGGTTGGACGCCTTGGATTATTAAAAGCCATGACCCATGACCCGCCAGTTATTAATGGGTTAAATTCGTCTAATAAATAAATGGGCTGAGTTACGATCGTTCAATTATGGGACGGACAGACCTTTTAAGGGTTTAGTGTAAACCTATTTTAAAAAGTACAAATTATTAGTTTATTTTTACAATTTCATTTCTCAAGTACTATGTTCACACAGCAAAGCTTGTATAATTTGTTAGTAAGTTTTTTTGTTTTTTTTTATATATTTTGAAACGGCTGAAATTGCATTAATTAAACCGAGTTTACAACAAAAGAAGGAAAATAGGGTAACATAAGTCAATTATAAGTTATCATGTCTTAAATGTGGTTAGGATGAGTTTTCATCAAAAAAAATGTGGTTAAGATGACTTTTTTGTCGTGATCATTATGGCAAATTAATTGTGTCATGTGAAGTGTGAACTATGCAATTGTATAGGTAGTTTACCTTTGCGGTTTTAACAATCAGCTGACGGTCACCTACATTTGATTATAAATGCAGTTGCAAACTAGCAAGTGTAGAATTGTATGAGTTAGTTAATTGTATGAGTTTTAGTGATATGTGTAAAAACAGAAAATTATTAGTGAATAACTATGAAAGTAACAACTTTAATACTTTTTTTTTTTGAAAAAAAACTCATCTAGGTCAACCGAAGAAATTTCCAATATGCGAGGAGGGATTACATCACTCCACACCCATTGGCTAAACTCCCTTGGTTAAAGTAAGTTAATTTGTGAGCTACATTATTACCCCCTCGCTTTACAAAAGACCATGAATCACTAATAAAATTAGAAGAAAAAAACAATCTAGAATATCCTTTATAATCAGATGAAAGGAACTGGAGCCATACAAACGCTTCATCGTTGCCTCAATCACCATCAGATTATCACTCTCGATCCCAATGCAACTCATACCCTTGTGTCTCGCAATCTTTATGCCCTAAAATACCGCTTTCACCTCTGCAATCTTAGTCTCTCATTTTTCACTCCACTACACCGTAGCTCTCCAAAGCACCACCCCTTCACTATTCCTGCAGCCCCCACCTCCCCCAAAACACCAGTATCAACAATAATTTTAACCACACCAGATGCCGGAGGAGACCCGCCCGCAGAGACACTCTTTCCACCCCTCCATTCCCCATGTTATTCAACTTACCCACCTCATGCCCCCTCGTATTAATCTTCAAAGCATAGGAAACAATTTGCTCAACATTCGGATTTTCACCCTCAACCATCCATTTGTTCTTTGCGCCCCACATATAGAGCTGTCAAAAGCTGACCCGACCCGAAAGACCGACCCGAACCCGATTATTAACCGACCCGTCTAAACCTGGAAAAATGATGACCCGACCTGAAACCAACCCTAGAACCGAGTTAACCCGATTATTTGAGACCCGAACCCGAACATGAACCGACCTGGAGATGACCCGACCCGAATATAACCCGTAAAATATTGACTTGAACCGAACCCGACCTGAACCGAAATTGACCCAAACCCGTTTTAACCCGTCAAAACCCGATTTTAACCCAACCTGAATTCAACCCGACCTATTCCTAACCCGACCCGAATTAAACCCGACCTATTACTAACCCGACCCGGAATTCAACCCGATCTGTCACTAACCCGACCCGAACCCAACTTTTTATTGACCCGAAATTAACTAGCAATCTAGGATTACGTCATATCTTTTTTTTTCCCTAATTTTATGAGTTATTTTCCTATTTAAGCTTATTCAAATATTTTCAATAAAATTCTCTACTATTAAATGTAATACAATTTATATGTCTCATAAAAACCTATAAAACATTATGAATACCACTACTTTTTGGATGCATGTGCATTCTTTATTTAAATTTAGTAATTACGATTTACGAATACTACTACTTTTTAGGCGCAAGTTCATTCTATATTTCAATTAAGCAATTATGGTATACGAATACTACTACTTTGTAGGTGTATGTGCATTAATGTAGTCAATTACGGTTTACAAATACTATTTGACCTTAGGCTTGTTTGTTTTATCTTATATTTTATAAATAAAAATAAAAAATAAAAAAATCAAATAAAAAATAGTTAAAAAAATAATAATAATTTCGGATAATGATTGAATTGAACGTGATAATGATTAAATGCGAGCATGAGTATATGACAATGACCAGATGATAATCTGACCCAAATAATTTACCTGTACCCGATTATGACTTGACTAGTCTGGACTCGAGAAAGTGGCCGGTGACCCGAACTAGAGCTGTTAAAAGGCTTTTATTGGTCTTTTATTTTTCTAATTTTATTATTCATTTGCCTATTTAATCTTATTTAAATGTTTTAAATGATACCATTTAAATGTTAAAAAAAAATGCCATTAAAAAAAAAACGTGAACTCGGATATGAACTTATAAAAAAAAATACAAGTTTAGATAATTTCAAATAAAATAAATTTAGAAAAAAAAATATTATATTTTAACTTATCTAAACTAAACCTATTTTATCCGAATTTATATGAACTTATTGTATTTTATCTAAACATGTCATCTCGAATATGAACTTATCTGAAATTGTTATCCCTAAAATGAGTTGAATCAATGTGAATAGATTAGAATAGGGTTTGAACTTATCTTCTAAAAATCTAAACTAAACCTATCTTATTGAAATTAATATGAACTTATTATGTAGATCTTATCTAAACTTATTAGAACTTATTACCTCGAATTAAAACTTATCTGAAATTATTTCTCTTACAATAAATGAAGTAATTGATAATGATTAAACGTGATTGTCATTACATGAACTGTTAACAAACCAACCCAAATTAAAAAATGTACCCGAACATGATATGACCCGACCTGAAATCAACCCGATACCCAGATTAACCCAATATTTGAGACCTGAACCCGAACATGACCTGACTTGGAAATGATCCAACCTAATTATAACCTGCAATTTTTTTACTTGAACCAAACCCGACTTGAACCCGAACATGACCCGACTTGTAAATGACCCGACCTGATTGTAACCCACAAATTGTTGACTTGAACCGAACCCGACTTGAACCCGAGAATGACCCGACTTGGAATTGACCCGACCTGATTATAACCCGCAAATTATTGACTTGAACCGAACTCGACTCAAACCCGATAATGACCCGACCTGATTATAACCCGCAAATTATTGACTTGAACCGAACCCGAATCGAACCCGAGAATGACCCTAACCCGTTTTAACCCGTGAAAACCTGGATTAAACCCGACCTATTATTCACCGACCCGAATGTAACCCGACCTGTTATTAACCCGACCCAAACCCGATAAGATGTATGACCCGACGTTACCCGACTCAAGCATGACCCAACCCGAACCCGACCCGTATAGGTTACGGCATTAACCCGAAATGACCCGACCCGAGTTGACCCGACCCACACTTACCCGACCAAAACCCGATTTGTTTACCCGAATTGACAGCTCTACCCACATAGCCCAACACATGGTAATTAAACTCACCATATCCTTTTCAAAATTACAAAAAACAGTGCTCCTACCAGTCACCCATACTACAAAGAGAGTGAGACAAAACCATAAAATGAATGCACTTACTCCAAACTGCTCGGGCTAAACTGCAATCTTTTAATGCATGCATGAAAGATTCTTCTTCTCTCTGGCAAACACTACAAGCTGGTAGCTAGGGCACAAACTAGCTACAAAAAAATTAGCTTTAAAATCTTATATGACCTAAAAAGCTAATTTGCTAAGTAGCTTACTTTGTAGTTGCTCTAATACTCCATCTGTTCCTTTTATTAGATACATTTTGACTTTACACCCTAGTGTCCCAACCAGTCCAGCGAACACCCACCCAAACCCTAACTCTAACTCTTGAACCCCACTTATTTGGCGAACTCCCACCCAAACCCCAACCCTTACTCTCAAACCACACTTATGCGGCGAACTCCCACCTAGCCCCAACCTAGCCGATCGATCGAACCCACGCAACTCTCACCCACCCTAGTCAGCACAAACCTATAACTAGGGATGAAAGTTCGGTTTTTAGTTTGGCTTATAGCCCAAACTGAAATCGAACCACTCTAATTCTGAATCTGGATATTAGAAACCACACCACACCACTTTACTTTTGAAACCAAACCAAACCATATAAATTTCGGTTTAAAAAAAAAAAAAAAAAAGGAACCAAACCAAATAATTTGGGCCTTGTTTATTCGGGCTTTAATATGCAATTTTTGTGGGCTTCCAAACCATATAAACCAATATGAAATATCATATTCATCAACATAGCAGTAGTGCAGTAGCATAATCGGATTAAAACAACATTAACAAGTTCTAAAACTTCTAATACAAAGTTGCAAGGCCAATCTGAAAAAAAAAAAATTAACACTTCATCCAAAAAAAATGTTCAACATTACAACAACTTTAACAATTGAAACAGCGGTAGTATAACAGCAACAAGCAGCAACAACATCATAACAGTAGCAGCATCATAACATACAGGTCAACAACAACATCATACAGAAGCAGGTCAGCAGCAGCATGGAGCAAGGCAGTAGCAACAGCAATGAGCAAACAATAGCAGCAAAGCCACATCAGTCTATTATTTCAAGCAATTCATCAATATCAGCATCACCAATTGCCATATTCTTCAAGTCTATCATAATTCATAACAAAAATAACCAAGTTAATATACATACATACATACATATATATATACATATATATATATATATATATATGTATGTATGTATATGTATGTATGTATATACATAATGAAAATAAGTAACTTTTGATTAGATATTCTTATATATTACCTTCTTCAAGAAGCTCAACTTCCTCTAAACATTTTTCAATACTTGGAAATGGTGTAGCACGTAACCAATTTTGAGCACAAACAAGACCTTCTACAACTCGGGGAGTTGATGAGCTCCTAAACTGATCTAGAAACCTGCCACTAGTGCTGAATGCACTCTCATAAGCTATCGTCAAAACAGGGGCAACAAGAACATCACGGGCAACTCTCCCCACATTAGGAAACCTTAAATAATTGAACTTCCACCAGCTCAAAATGTCAAATTCATCAATATCATCCGCCGTATCCTCCTCCAAATATTTGTCTAACTCTATTTGCATCTCCATCTCTCTCACACTTGTGTTTCTTATACTTACTCTTTAAGACTTCAATCTTCTTATGTTTGGGAGACAATGGAGTTTTGTCATCCTTACTTGAAGACACTTCCTCCCTATTCACATCATTAGATGAAAAAACACGATACTCCTCATACAAAGCATTCAAAGCTTCCTTCACTAACCAACTTTGAAGCAACAATAGGATCATATATTTCAGTTATCATCCACTCAACATAATCAAGCTTATACCGAGGATCAAGGACAACGACAATAAAAATCAGGAGGTTTATTTTTTCTGGATCACCCCAATACTTTTCATATTTTTCTTTCATTCTACAAGCCATAAGACACATATCCAAATCATCACTTGAAACCAAATCTTTCAAAAGTACAGCAACACTCACCAATTTATGTGTAAACAATTTCGAAGTGACATATAAAGAGCCAGAGACATGCAAGGTCAGATCATAAAAGGCTTGTAAAAACTCAGAAAATCTTCTCATATTATTCCAATCATCAGAATCATGGCTACCCTTACCATCCCTCTCGTCCAAATCAATAACATAGTGAGGGTCTTTCTCAGAATACCTCTCAAAAGCATCCTCAAGTTCAATAGCAGTATTCAACATCAAATAGGTGGAGTTCCACCTAGTAGGCACATCAAGGCATAATCCCTTTTTTGTGTTGATTTTTTCATCTAAGACATATTTCTTAAACCTTTGCAACCTAGCAGGAGATTGTTTGATAAACCTAACAACATGCCTAACACGTTAAACCGACTCATTAACAGTTTTCAACCCATCAGAAACAACTAAATTGATAATGTGTGCAGCACAACGCATGTGAATGAAACGGCCATTAAGAACCCCAGTTTTCCATCCATTCATTTTCCATCTCATATACCCAATTGCAGTATCATTTGAGCTAGCATTGTCAACAGTTATGCACATGACTTTTTGAAGCCCCCAATCAAGCAAACACTTTTCAATTTCTTTGCCAATATCATCACTCTATGACTAGAAATAGGACAAAAATTCAGAATACTTTTGTGTAATTTGCAATCATTATCAATAATGTGGACAGTCAAGCACACATGTAATTGATTTGTTGTATAGAGGTCCATGTATAAGTGGTTAAACAAACTCTTGAATTACACCTCTCTAACACATTTTTCAGCTTTCGTTATTCAGTTAAATATGTTTCAAAACAATCTTTGGCTACTATAATTCGAGAACTTAAATCTAGGTTCCATTACACCGCAAAAGTGTCTAAAACCTATACCTTCAACAAACTTAAATGGAAGTTCATCAACAATCACCATAAATGACAAAAGCTTTTCTAATACTACTAGCATCAAATTTGTAGTATGTCAACCCACTAGTACCACCACTTGGTACCTTAGCACTTTTGAATGAAATTAAAGCATACTTTGTTTGGAATCTTTAGGGGTGTTGAAGGGATACTTACGACATCGCGAAATATGAGCCCATAACACACTAGTGTCGTTTTTCTTTGCCCCACACTTGTAGCTCATCCCACAATACTTGCAAGTTGCCTGCCTTCCAGAAGGTAAATCTTCTTTAACAATGTGCTCCCAAACATCAGAGCGCTCTTTCATCCTCTTCTTTTTTGCTCTCTCTTCTTTTTTCTGATTTTGAGAGACTTGGTCAGTCTCATGTTCGGATTGAGGCTGGTCAGGAACACCACCCACATTGGTTGTCATTGGCCTAGGAAATAAAAAAACCAATTAATAGGGCAAAGTAGTAGCATAAAGCAATTCGGCAAAGCAATAGCAGACTAGGAGTAGCAGTGAGCAAAACAGTAGCAGTTTAGCAAAGAATCAATAATTATTCGAAATTCTTCTTATTGTAGTCGTTATTCGTTAATTAGTAAGTCAAGGATTGTTCGAAAATAATTCAGAAATTGTTCCAAAATAAGTAATTGTAGTCGTTAATTTGATTTCTTAACCTAATCTATACTTTCCTAAATATTTTTCATCAATTTATGAAATTATGAAGCATAATCGCACTATCAACATGAACATGAAGCATCATTGCATGAACATCAAGCATAATCGCAAGTATAATATGTAAATCAAGCATAAATGCATAATCTCAATACGCAAGTATAATTGCAATTGATATGCAAAGATTAAAACTTAAAAGCATACCATTGGACAGTGGAGTGGGTGAATGGTGGACGCTAGACAGTGATCGGACGCCGGTGGACGGTGGTCGACTAGTTGGATGTCAATGACTCAGTGAGTACAAGAGTAGGTGAGTGAGAGGCTGAGAAGGATGAATGTTAGATTAGGTTTTTTTTTGCTTTATATACTTAGGGTAAAATCAGTGTTGGGCTAGGCGGTTTAGGCCGAAATTTTGGTTTTTTCGATTTTTCAATTTCTCAAACCGAAAAACAAAATATTTTTTTTTTCAAAACAAACCGAAACACTTTCGAAAAAAAAACCGAACCATATTTCTTATTTGGTTCGGTTCGGTTTTAAACCAAATTCGTTCCACCCCTACCTATGACCACCCAGCCCTCTACACCAACCCGACACCCCAATCTTTTTAAAAAATTATTTATTATCATTAAAATTAAAAATAATTTTTTGTATTTAAAATTAATATTAAGCTATATTTTGTTTTTAATTAAGTCAATTCTTATTTCATTGAGAGTTAATTATAGTATAAGTCAATTGATGACTTGTTTGACCTGTCACAAGTCAAATCTAGTACTTAAACTATTTATGGAATATAGACATCAATGTTAGACTTATTTTTTAATTTATTAAAGTTGACTTGATATTGGAAGATCACCTAAAGTTCGACTTATTGTGGTTATTTTTTTCATTATTTTATTATATTAGACTTTCCTTTTACTAATCATCTGTATATGTATTTCTATTTTATACAAATATTTTCCATACGAGAATGATAAAAAAGTCAATAAAAGAATGGTGCATTATCACACCAAGAATCAACACGAATTTTTTTAGTGTGTCATAAAGTATATAGTTGTTGAAATATATATTCATGGATAATTGATTGATTATTATTTATTGATGATTACTAATTATTTATTTAAGTAAATATAAAAATATAATATTTAATCATTATTTTTTCTAACGGATAAATCACAAAAGAAGGTTAAAAGAGAAGTGTGAATGAAAATGTCCAAATGGTGCAATTAAAGAAAGGGAGAAAGTATTTTACAAATTATATAAAATTATTTTACGAATTAACAAATTACATAACTATTTAACAATTATATAATTAATGATTTTTTTAACTATCATTTTGCCCTGGGCCTTCAAAATGTCAAAAACGGCTCAGAAAACAAAAATATGAAAACATAAAGATTGCTATGTTGTACTTAAATAATCATTAAACAAAGAAGAACAAATGGTCAAAACACTTGGTAATTGAGGTTATATGGGCATCAACAACTTGGAGATAAATGACATCACTTCTAGCTTGCACAGCATCGACGACATACAACAGGGCATCGAAATTTTTCAAAGAAGAGAGTTCCTCGGAGGTCAAAACACTAGGCAGCAATACTGAAACCAAGCGTTTCTGATTATACTTGGTTTCGTAGAGGGTCAATCTAGCAATATCGAAGGTAGCAGTTTTCTCAAACCCCATAATTGCCAGGATATTACCAGGACCCACAAGCAGTAGGCTTGAGTTAGGGGGACAAAAAGATCTAAGTGAGCGTTTTACCACACGTTTACTCAAATGCATCCTACATCAGAAAAACACAGCCCGAAAGTTACATAAATTCTTAATATTATTTAAGTATACATTTAAAATCATCATTTAACATATTATTACATCATTTACTCTTAAGTTCGCCAATCCCAAAGAACAACACACATTTCAAGAGTCAAGATTATACACATTTGAAGAATCAAGATTATATACATTTGTATGTTTCTTTTGCGTCGTTACACCCAAAAAAAATCAGCAATTAACAACATTTAACATATTGTTACATAAATTATATCAAGAATCAAGATTATACACATTTGAAGAATTAAGATTAATTATACACATTTGAATATATTAAATCTAAAAAACATCGTATAAAAAAATTCATGTAATAATATGGTGTGCTGTTTTTAGGAGATCAGATACGGAGAGTACTTGTTAGTATGTATGTTTCTTGGCGTCAAAAAAAATTCAGTAATCCACAACAAATCAAAATGATCATTTCAAGAATCAAGATTATACACATTTGAATATATTAAATATAAAAAACATTGTATAAACAAATATCGTATATTAAAAAAAAATCATGTAGTAAGGTGTGCTGTTTTAGAGTACTTCTTGTATGTTTCTTAGCGGTGGCGTCGTTACGTACACCCAAAAAAATATTCAGCAATTAAAAACAAATCAAAATGATCATTTCAAGAATCAAGATTATATACATTTGAATATGTTAAGTCTAAAAAACCATCATCATGTAATATAAACAACAATTAACAACAAATCAAAATGATCAAACATCAGATTAATAATAATACAATATTATTAAGAAAGGATACCTGAAAGTTGGCGTCGACGAGGCAACGAATACGTAAAAGCGAGTTTGAGTTTGGATTGCGCGCTAAGTTACACCAAACAACACAAATAGAAAAAAAATAAAGGGTATCAGATTGATGAAACACATTAATAAATTCGTGCAATGAATTCAAAGATTAGTGAAATAAATTAACAGATTAGTACAATAAATTATCAGATTATTTGAAAATAGAAGGATTACTTGAATTATTGCGTGCTCTCCTAGATCTTCTAAAAAAAAAAACTCTCATTTCTGAGGTGGGTTAACATGCCTTCCCCTATTTATATTAACACAATTGTTGCTTTCAATTAAGTACAAGCCTACTTCGAATTTAATTCCCATCATACCCTTTAAGACCTTATTCTATAATATGTTCTTACTTTGTTACCCACTCTAAACCTTTTTAACAATTTTCTTTTTTACAAAAAACAGACCAAGTTTTATTTCAATTGAGTTTATTGGGTTTATATTTTGAGTACGGCTAGTATATATTTATTACATGAAGATCGAGATTACTTGCATCTGCATATTTATCATAGCTTATTATTAATTTATCATTAGATATTAGTCTTATCTATTTGGTTTGTCTTTTGATCTTAGTAATTTTGGTACTCTGTATAACATTAATTGATCATACGTAAACTGACTAATGTAGAGCTGATGCATTTATTTTGTCAATCATTCATCTTTGTATCAAATCTCATTCTTATTAGTGAACGTACTAAATCTTCCATGGCATTGATTGTTAGCTTCCTAGCTAAGTCATTTTCTTATCTTATACTCACTCCTTTTCTTTTTAGTTGCTATATTTGACTTTACACGATTTTCAAAGCATAACTTAAAACTTTTTTTCTTCTGAGTAAGACATAAATTTATAAAAACTTAATAATCTAAAAATTTATATAGACATACATCTAATAAGATCCCACTTGAATTTATTATTTGTTATAACATAATTACAATTTATGGTAAAAGTTTATCAAAAACGGCTCAGAAAACAAAAATATGAAAACATAAAGATTGCTATGTTGTACTTAAATAATCATTAAACAAAGAAGAAAAATCGACATTATTGTAAAATAAAAGCTTGAATTTTGAACCCATTACACTAAAAGGAAGGAATTTACATAAGGTGGGAAATTGTAATTAGAAATATGTAATCAATATAAATTGACATTGGAATAATATCAAATGATGCATGAATAGTTTGAGGAGAGAGAACTTACAGTCGCACTGCCGCAGGCAGCGGAAAAGGTGTGAAGGTGGCGTAGGGCGATGATGGCGGAGGTGAGTCGGTGGCGTTGAGAACAGAGGGAGGAGGAGAATTGAGAAGCGGCTTATTCACTTTGAGGTCTGAATAACTGACTAGATCTAGTCGTATCACCTAATCAAAAGAATTACCTAAGTCCACTAACTAAGTAGATAGGGAAGTAGGGTCGAATCCACAGGGAAACAAGGTTCTTCTATTCCTAATCAATAATTATAGTCCAAATTATTAAGTAATCAAAATTGTATTTGTGTAAATTAACTAATAATGAAACTAAGCAAATAAATCTAAGGAGATATCAATAATAAAAAGCTCTAGGGTATAGGTTCACCAATAAATAATACTCTAGGGTAAAACATACAATCAATTATCAATGCATAAATTAACCAGATTATAAAGGGCTGTCGCTACGTATTATAATCACATAATTAATCTACTCGTATTAAATCTCATCGCTCGAATCTCGACCTAACCATTAATAGATTAACATGCCTATTGAAACTAAGCCTAAATATCAATTCTCATCTCTCGAATCTCGAATCAACATTGCATAACTCATACAATTAAACCTGGCCAAATCTAATTGCATAGCATTAAATCAATCAATAGAAAATTAATCAATCATCAATAATAGATTATAATAAATTACCCCTTCGTATTATTCATGGATCCCCAAAACCCTAGAATAAAATCTACTCACACATAATTAAATCTAAACTAAACATGATAATTAAACAAGGCATAAAATAAACAAATTAATTAAATTGCGGAAAATAAAAGCAAGGAAGAAATCGTACCAAGAATTAACGAAAGTATGAATTGTATTAAGGAAATAGAATAGAGAGAGAAAATAGTCTAAAAACAAGGGAGAATACAAAGATCCAATCTTTAAAACTAAGAAAATCTAATTAAGCTAATGAAAAACGTACTAAAGAATTAATTACAAAACGTATTTATACTAACTTAATCCTCAAAAAGATAAAGATAAAAGAAAATAATAAAAAAAACTAAATAATATCTTCCAGAAACACGCGCCCGGTCGGGCGAGGCACTGCCCGGCCGGGCGCGCCTTTTTTCACTCTAATGCGTAGCTCGCGCCCGGTCGGGCGCGCATCCGGGCGAAGCCTACCCCTTCCTTTTTCTTCTTGCCCGGCCGGGCGCGCCTTCGGGCGAGCCATGGCCTGGTCGGGCGTTGCTTGGGCTAGCCTTTTTTCTCTTCTTCTTTTCTTTTGGGCTTTAATTTCTTGGCCCAAAACAAATCTTCTCATAAGTCCAATTTTCCCAAGCTCCTATTCACTTCATCGAGCCCTTAATCACCGAATTGATTTCTCAAATACGGCCTAGGGCTTCGGAACACGATCATAGAAATGCGTCTCGTCTCCATACGAAAACACTAGAAAACGCATATTAGTAATAAAATTGGCTCTAAAGAGCCAAAAATACTCCTAACTATGATCACGGGACGGGGATAAAATACTATATAAAATGAATACATCAATAACCCCTTGCCCAAAAAAAAAGTTCACTTGAAAAATTAGGTTCTTGAGTACTTCGTTTGTTTTTTTCAACTTTGCAACTAGTGTGTGGTCCAAGTGGTGTTCCGATATGCTATTTATACTTGTTTAGTTTGCTAATTATGTTCGACTGTTTTTCTCAGCATTTTGATAATCATCCTGAAATTTCAAGACTTGAAAAAAGATTTGTAAACACTAGTTATGTTATTCAGGTTAACTATAATTTTGTTGGTAGAAAAGCACAATAAATAAATAGCTAAGATGGTAAGACTTGTTACTTAATACTCCCTCCATTTTTTTTATACGCTAGAGTTGGAAAATTCCACTATTCATAGGTCATCATTGACTTAATTTTTTTTACCAATATGTAACATATAAATATGATCATATAATATGTTGTTGATTTGTCATAATGTCTATTTTTATATAAATAAAAATTTCATAATTTTTACTAACCTATAATTAAAGATATAAATGGTCAAAATTGTGTCTCGACAAATGTGAATCCAACTCTAGCTTATTAAAAAAACAGAGGGAGTACTTGTTGGTCTTAATTTTAAGTCTTGCTCTATAAGCATTTTTAGTTAATATATAACTATTTTCAAATAGTGTAAGAATTTAATATCATTACAAGATATTTTGTATTTCCTCCACCCACGATTATCTGCACCAAACGTCCTTTTTGCTGACTCCTAAGCAAAACTTTTAATGGAGTTTAATTAAGTTTGGGTGGGTTTAATTAAGTGGAAAAAAGATGGGAAATAAGTGGTCCCTTATCTTTTTGTTTTTGGGTGGGTTAAAGTGAGTGGAAAAAAGGTGAAAAATTGAGGTCCCCTTTTATGAGCGGGAAAAAGGTGGAAAATTGAGTGTAATTAAAAGATGCTAAATAAAGTTATAAAATAAAAGTAAGGGTAAGGTGGTCTTTTTACTTTTTAAAATTTACTAAAAGAGGAAAGAAAAAAATTTGTTGCACATAATAGAGAGCACCCATTTGGGCAAGGTAATGTTGTAGATAATTGTGGGCGGAGGGAGTATTATAAATGGGTCGGATTAAGTTCGAGTTGTTTGGGCCTGGTAGGGTCATGTTTGGGTTTCTCTCAATTTCTTCGTGTCATGTTCGGGTTGAGCTAGGTTAGGAATTGACAGCTCTTTAATTGCAACACACCTTCATGATTTGAGTAAGTGATTAGAAAAGATAAACCGACAAGTTAAGCTTTGAATTTTAACCCTAAAAATTTAACAAATTTTTCTTAGAGAATGTATTGGGTGCGGACTGCCGCATGCAAATTTGGTGCGGCAAACTTGGTTGAGATATTTTACTTGTTGGCTGATATGTTTCATTTGTTGGTTGATATGATTTTTGTGTATGCTAATATATTCATTTTGTTGGCTGATATGTTCCTTTTGTTGGTTTCTATCAGACATTAGTTGGCTAATATGTTTCTTTAGTTGGCTGATATCTTTATTTTGTTGGATGATATGTATATTTTAATTGTTGGCTTATAAGTTTCATTTTGTTGGCTGATATATTTATTTTGTTGGCTTACTTGTTGCTTTTGTTTGCTGATTTCATCCTTTTGTTGGCTATTATGCTTCATTTGTTGGTTGATATATTCCTTATGTCGGCTGATAAGTACCTTTTGTTGGCTGATATATTCCTCTTGTTGGCTGATATGTATATTTTGTTGATTGGTATACTCCTTTTGTTGGCTGATACGCTTTTATTAATGTCTGATATGTCCCTAATGTCCACTGAAATCAGACCTCAGTTGGCTGATATGTTTATTTTAATAGCTGATATGCGTCCTTTGTTGGCTAATATGATTAACAACATACATATATACTTTATGTTTTTCTTATCGGTGGTATATTTATTTCAATCAATTAACTTGTCTACCTAGTTTAATATCTTTGACCGGAGGAAGTACTCCCTCCGTTGTATGTGATTATGTGTTACAATTTGACTTTTTTCCCTATCCATGGTAGAAACTGTTATATACACCCGGGTGCATGGTGCACCCAAGGGTATTGTTTGCTCATTACGATGATTATTGCTCATTTTATCATTAAATGAGCAAATAAATACCCTTGGGTGCATCGTGCACCCGGGTGTATACAAACAATCTCCCTTCTAATGGTTTTTACTTGGATATTTAACTAATATAGAAGTTATAAATGTTATTATATAATATATTGTTGGATTTGTCACATGTATACTTTCATAATATATTTTTTTTTTACTAGCATATACTTCATCTGTTCTTATATATTTGACTTGCTTTGACTTTTGCATTATTCACATCCCCCTCCTTTGATCGTTTTTTTTGCGAATTATATGTAAAGGAAACCATATTCCAATCTTTTTTAAAATCGTCTCAATAAGTAGTATCATAATTAATAACATTTATAATTTTTACTCATTGAGAATTAAAGTTACCGATAGTTAACGTTCTGCATGGCAAGCGTGATAAATAAAACAAGTCAAGTAAAAAAGAACTAAGAAAATAATTAGAGAAATAATGGTCAAAGTCGTGTCTTGACATGCGTTTTTGGTTAAAGTGTAACATTTAAAACAAACAAAGGTAATATATTATTGAACTTAAATTTGGTCATGTTATCTTCATATTGTAAATTATTTTTTAAATTGGAATAATTTTTTTACTAATTAGTACTTATGTTTCAATAATAAAAAAAAAAACTATTATATACTTCTTTCGCTTTAAATTAGTTAACATATTTTGACACTATTCATATACTTTGTATTCAGTTATTCACTATACTTTGACAAGTTTTTGTGTTTTACTCCATATAAATAAGAAAAAGGAAATTTATTGAAGAAACCCATCTCAAATACACCACTTGTTAAATTTATCGTCCGTTTTATTTATGAAATTAAAAAAATACCATCCCAAAACACAAAATCAGTATCACCACCTCCTCCTCTATTCCAGGTTGTTTCGGGCTGTTTCCCGATTGAGGACCCAAGAGTCAACACCCTATTGGTAAAAAATAATAAAATACAAAAAAATAAACTAAAATAAAATCGATTTTTTTAAAAATAAATAAATAAATAAATTCCCCCCTTAACCGTTTTCCATGAATTCCACCATAATTGGGGTGCGTAACCTCAGTTAAATAGCAAAGAATAGTACGGAGTATTATACTGCCCGAACAAAGAACCTGTTTGATGCAATGATGCCAATGACCATGAAAAAGAAACTAGATCAGAATCCAAATGATATTGGAAGATAAATGATGGATTGCAATTTCATTATTACTTTAATCAAACAATAAGGGGCCTTTCTCCTTGTTAAATGACTATCCAACATTGTGCCTGCTCTAACAAACCAGCAAAACCCCAGACCACTCAATAAGAAAGCCACAATATGCTTGCTTGCGTTGCATTGTTGTTGGATTATTATTCCCAAATCCAACTTTATAATTGGGATCAACCGACAAAATTGGGTAAAAATACTCGGCTTCAGTCAACAGTATGCTTCAAGCTAAAAAATTTCTTCAGCACTAGTCAGAGGGACCAATCATTTTCTCAGGCACGACATGCTGGTAAAACTCTTCCTCTGTAAGAACTCCAAGCTTCAACGCAGCATCCTGCAAGGCAGATTGGTTTGTTATGGTTGCATTTCAACCCAGTTTTATTTTTGAAGGCACAAAATTGCAAAATTCATCTTCTTCATCTAAGAAGATGAATGCTTAATGACCACAGAATATAATTGTTAACTGGACTTCTGCACCTCTTTTTCAAAATTTTTAAGTGTAATCACAATCTTCAGGAAAGATTAACAGAAATACAATCTATCTTGTGATTTTAGATGCATATAATATTAAGGTACAGCCGTCGATTGGTGAATGGCCACAAAAAAGGAGCAATATAAGAAGCTGATCCATAGAAAATTGTTAGTCAAGGAGAACAATTACTACCTTTAATGTAGTTCCCTCTTTGTGTGCTTTTTTGGCAACTGCAGCAGCATTGTCATAACCAATTTTCTGAGACACGAACATAGATGGTCAGTAAAGGAAGCAGAGTATATGAAACCATCAAGAGTAAAGGGGCCAGCAATAACTTACAGGGTTCAAAGCTGTCACAAGCATAAGCGACTGCAAGAATATATGCCAACACATCACGAAAATTAAGAAATATCAGTTAAGCTTGCCATCCAAAGATATTAGATAAGTCATTGAAGAAATTAGTTCAACGTTACTACAGTGCACTTGCCTCATTTAGCAACTTAGAAATTCTCTCCGTATTGGCTTGAATTCCCCTAACACAATTCTTCTCAAAAGAAGCAGATGCATCCGCCAGCAATCTCACTGACTGGAAGCGAAATCAGAAAAAAATAAGGAATACAATCAATACATACTATAATCTTAACAGAGCAGGTGTTTGCACACCTAGTAACAGACAATTGTTGCATATCAAATCAAGAATCAATTAGATAAACATTCAATCTGTTATTGCAGGATTTTAACTGCACAGACCTGAGCGCTTGATGAAAGCTTTGCACATTACTTCAAATTAAAAAAAAAAATAAAAAAAAAATAAATAAAAAAAAAAGGGCATGAATATGACCATAACGGAGTGATAAAACTTACATGTAGAAGAGCGTTTGCAATGAGGGGCTTGAAAACATTTAGCTCAAAGTGACCATTTGAGCCTCCAACAGTTACTGCTACGTGGTTTCCCATTACCTGTGAGTAAGCATCTGGAAGATCAATGACAATGTTGTGACCAACAAAAAGTAAATTTCCCTTGTAAATCAAGGCAATTCTATCCATGAATATGATATGACAACCAAATTGATAGCAAAATACAGGTTAAAATTTTTGCAAATTATGTAAGAAAAGCATGGTATTCCTGTCCTTCAAATAGCTTCAATGAAACACAGTGAACTATGTTATCTTTACCTGAGCACAGACCATAGTTATAGCCTCACACTGTGTAGGATTAACCTTCCCCTGTAATAGATAAAGTAAGATGCTTAGAACTAAATACTATTTTTGGCCTAATAATGAGAATTGATTTACATAAGAATTGAAAGGGGAAGGGGGGGGGGGATATGACATAAAGAAAGATCAATGATAGACAAGGACTTTACAGGCATAATACTGCTCCCTGGTTCATTTTCTGGAAGAATTAATTCACCAAGACCACATCGTGGACCGCTGCATAAACAGCAAACAATTAGAAAACCATAATAATCACGAAAATGAAAATAGCAGGTCCAATTGTTTCAGAAATCATACCTTCCTAGAAATCGTATATCATTAGCGATCTTCATTAGAGAAGCAGCAACAGTGTTGAGAGCACCACTTGTTTCAACAAAAGCATCATGGGCAGCCTAACAAATCATCAAATCAGAGGATTCAATAAATCAATCAAAGCCTTAATCCCATAAGTGCAGAAATCAGAGGATACAAGTAAACAAAAAAATCTCACAGTGAATATACCGAATACAGAACAAACTAAACAAAAAAAAAAGGAAATGAGGCATCAGACACTAACCAATGCTTCAAATTTGTTTTCAGCAGTAACAAACGGTAAGTTGGTCTCTTCAGCAACAGCTTCAGCAATCTTAACATCAAACCTGAAAGATATTTAAAGGAAGATCAATTTATTATATTACACAGATGGAGTGCAAAGTGTATTACCACATAAACCGATATAGCATTTAAACAATCATATGCCACTTATTCTTCCCACAAACACTCTGTATATGTAGCTACACAGATCATTTTTATATCTGTGGGTTTTGTTAAGGAAAAAGAAACTGTCTCAATTATCTATTTCCCTGAGAATCCATTCTTTAAGCACCCCCCCACCTCCCCCCCCCCCCAAAAAAAAAAAAAAAAAAAAGAAACGTCCAACAACTTAATCTGACGGATATAAACCCAACACATTTTTTCAGAAAAAAAAAACATTATCATAAAATGCATACTACCACAAGCATCCACAACAGTCTGTATGATATTCAGCAAACTCTAGTAGGTTGATAATTCTGACATTCTCTGAGGTTGGAAATTAGGCAAGTGAAGGCACTCGGTTCATAAAACACAAAAGGTAGCTGAGAACTTTTTGATACTCTTATGTGATTACTCCAATAATTAAGCACATTGTGATACTATGAGGATCACATACCCTTTCTTTGTGTTTAATCCAGTCCCTACAGCAGTGCCTCCTTGTGCAAGCTGCCAAAAGAGTAAAATTGTAAATAGTGGCAAAGTAACAGAATAAGTTGAAAAAAGGGGGAAAAAAGCTGAGTGTTTCTACCTGATACATATGAGGCAGAGTGCGTAGAACTCTATCGATTCCATACTTGACCTGAAACCACAAGAAAAAGGTAAGAGAACCTGCAGATAAGATATAAACGGGCCAGAATGTCTGCTAAAAACAAATGTTACAATCATTCCATTTATTATATCTCACATGCATTCAATTTACATGTACATTCGCATAGGGGGTAGCTCCATATGATTTAGTTGAATCAACATTCAAGTGTAGCAAGCATCAATTAAGAAGCTATGAAGGACAACCCATATCTAGGTAAGAAGCCTTAGCATAAAGGGGACATTTATTATTTCTTTCTGAATTCACCAAGCATAATTATTAATAGAAAAAGGATTGAATCAAGTTAAATTGAAGTCAACCATTTAAATCCCAAGTGTAATGACAAGTTTACTTGCAAATGATCCAAAGATCACCACGTAAGACATAGGACCAAATAATACTAATCATTAAAAAAGGGGGGGGGGGTAATATGCTGAAGAAGAAGAGGGGGATGGGGGGAGGTAGAGGAGGAGAAAACTTATGAGAATAAGGATATAAAAAGCAAATTACTCACTTGTGTAGAATAGCCACTGAACTCTTGGCCAAGAGTCAAAGGTGTTGCATCTTGAGTATGAGTACGCCCAATCTTAATTATATCTTTAAATTCAACAGACTATAAAAAGCATGAAAAACAAATCAGTAACTAAACCACAAAAAAGAAGAAAATAATGTACACATAGCACCGATAGAGTAATAACCATGCAGAAAGAACTACACAGGGAAAATCTATGGATGTTAGGCTGTTACTCCTGTTAGCTGTTATTTGCATTAGTTTCATCAGCTCTTGCTCAATGCCTTTCTTATTACAAGAATCATTCTAATGTACATAGTCTAAGAATGTTATTTTTGACATACATCTCCTTCAAGCATCATTGTTACATCAATACAGCCATTTGATTATATTATTAGAAATTATGTATAACTCATTACACGTTACAGCTGCAAAAAGTATGATTCAGCGGCTTTCAGCCTTCCAAGGATTCTGTTATTATTATTATCAAAAAACAGTGCAGCCCTAACTTTTCCATTTTCTCACAAACCAAAAGATCAACAAGGCTTTACCAAGAGCTCTTCAAAGTGCAGCAATGCACCAAATAAACAAATAAAGGAAACATGTAAGTTGTACTGCAAGTTGTCTTTGTGTGCTGCTGCAAATTGCCATGTAAGGGGGCGGGGGGGGGGGGGGGGAGGGAGGATAATGGATTTATCATGCATTTCTCAATTAGCTCTGCACAAAATTTTTAAATCAGACTTCAGAATCACTCACTTTAGCATGAAGTGAAGAATGTAAATTCTTCAAGTTTGGCACAAATCGCGAATTTATTTCCATAGCTGCTGCAATGTGCATCACCTGAACAGAAAGTGACAAGGCAACACCAGTGACAAGAAACTAATAATTTGGATGCAGAAACTAATGCATCATCCATCTCAGTCAGAACCGACACCATCTTGAAGTGGGATTTAGCCACACAATCTTGAAGTGGAACTTAGCCATTTAGAAGAACCTTCACATCCTTTAATAGATTTACATTGAGATGCAGATATAATGTCACACCAAACAAGAAGAACTAACACAATGAAAAGCACTTACAGTTGGGAAAGTGTCATTAGAGGACTGTGACCTATTTACATGGTCATTAGGATGCACAAATTTCCCACCACGTGTATGTCCAAGGATTTCAGCTGCCCTGTTCGCAATAACCTGCACATAAGCATACATTATCAACACAAAAAATATAGGTAACACATACATCCCAAAGAAGAAAAGATGAAAGCTTCACAAGTTCATTAAATATCTTGAAGTAGCCTAAGAGCACTAACCTCATTGGCATTCATGTTGCTTTGTGTGCCACTGCCAGTTTGCCACACTACAAGAGGGAAATGATCATTTAATTTTCCCTCAGCCACTTCCTGGGCAGCTTGCATTATTGCATTTCCTATTGTTGGATCAAGGCCATATTGCATATTCACCTGCAGCGATACATCATTAGGAGTAATTAAGCTAAGTCTAGAATGCTAACTAGATTGCCAGTCATGATCTATACAAGCTAAGACATATGATTTTTGAGTTGCCACCATGATACAAATGAAAAAACCCAAACTTTCTTTGAAGAATGTGGAAATCGCCAAGCAATGGAGATTATTTTTTCTGCGTTTTATACAGTCATGAGAAGATCATTCCAAGGGAACCAAGTACAAGATGTTGTATGACATTTTGTGGGAAAAAAAAAATCGAAAGTATATGATACCTTGGCAGCGCATTTCTTTAAGATTCCAAATGCTCGAACAATAGGCTCAGGCATACGTTCACGGTCCCCACCAATTTCAAAGTTCTGTAGTGATCTCTGAGTTTGAGCACCCCACAATCTGGAAAACTCAATCGCAACAACCAAAATGTTGTAAGGCTCCAAAATGATTGATGAATAGTGACCAATTTTCAGAAAGCAATTCAAGCAACAGGAAGTTCATGTAAAAGTATCTTATAAGCTGCTCTAATTCTAGTCTAAACTTCAACAAACTCAGTATATCTAAAAACATCTGAGCTGAAGCAAACCTGTATTTCTTCTCACATCAAAAAACTCTTGAGTACTCGGATTCATTACTTCTCATTTAAAATACGCAAACATCTAACAAGATAACCCAACCCATTTCACTACTCTCATGCTCTTGCACATAGCCCTTTCAAATATAAGAGGTTTATTTACAATCATAACATCATACCCATTATCCAATGTCACCTACAAACCGCTACATATCAGATACACAGAACAATTACACGACCATAAATTCGCCGACCTTGTCACATTTGAATCATTCCACAATTACAACATCATTGCAATAATTCACACACTCCATAACACAATGTAATCAGATAAGGTAAACGGATCACAACACTCGAAAATTTACCATTCTTCCTCTCACCCAACTTGCTTAAATCTTGTACGAAAATAATACAGCTTAGCAACAAATCAGCACGAAAATAATTCATTCTTATAAAAACATACACTCCCAATTCTTCTCACTATTAAAAAACAAGATCTATCACCCCAAAAAAAAAATGACACCCCAATTTCATAAACATTTCCACAACTTAGCAACAAATATTAAATCATAGAAATTCAAAAACAACAAAAAACATCATACGATCAAACAAATAATAAAAAAAAAACAACGACAAAACTAAATCATACAAGTAAGTAACAAATGATTGAAAAGGGAGGAAAGAGAGAAAAACAAACTAACTTATCAGAGGGAACATTGATAGGCCCAAAAGTGTCACGCTCTTCACGAAACGAAGACGAGTAAAATCTCAGCCATGTTGAACGCAGCGCCGTCGCAGCCGCCGCCGTTGACGGCGTTGATCCGGTAAAAAGCCGGCGACTAGCTAGATACATCGAGTGTTCAAAGGTAGAGGGAAAATTAGAGAGAGAAACAAAATAACTAGAAGACCAATTAGAAAAATGATTGCAATTTTTTAATTTTGTTTTTGTATATTTAAAATTGTTTGGAGAAGTGGGCCTAGAATAGAAGGAAATTTGTTTTGAGGTTATTGGGGTTATGGACTAATGTTGGCCCAAGTCCATCCATGGGTACCATAATATACTACCTCCGGATTCAAGTTACTTGCAACAATTTTATAAAACGGATGGTTCACATTATTTGCAACAAATTTTTTTCTTTCCTTATCTAGTAAGTTTTTGCCTGCGAAATGACTATTATACCCTTACTACTCTTTTTTATAGAACCTTATTACTACTCCTAATCTAATTTCATTATGTTTAACATCAGATTACTTATCCTAACCATTCCCGCCAAAATTACCCCTAACCTTTTAAATCCCCCCATCTCCCAACCACCTTCATTGAATGCATTTGCATTCAATTCATGTTGAAGATGGTTGAGTGCATTCAATTCTGGAAATTTTTCCAGAAAACCCACCCCCCAAACCCTAGTTCTTCATATACCCCAACTTCTTTCTCTCTCCAAAACGCGCTCTTTCTCTCTCTTCAACTTCTGGGTTCTCTCCTTTCTCTCTCTTCATTTTATGGGTTTTCTCCTCTGTTTGATTGTTCCTCTCTCTCACCATGGCTTCTTCTGACGAAGAAAATCCAGATCTCCAGTGCTACGAGTCCCTTCCTTCTACTACAAAACTCTCTTCGCCTCGTCCATCTTTTACGAGGTACAAACCTCGCCGTGGTTCTGGTATCATGAAACTAGTGCGCTGTGCTTCCATTATAGCGAGGAAGAGGATCTGTGGGGCTAAACTCACGGAGTATATCTTCAATGACGAGGAGGAGAAACCTTCAAGGGCCCCTGGATCTAAGAACGACGATCCACCAACTCCCGCCGTAGATCTGGTCCAGAAACCTGCTGCTGAGGATGGCTCAGATGCTGTGGTGGCTGCTGAACCTTCTTGAGAGGTCGCAGATGCTGGATCTGAGACTGCAGACTCCAGCTTTGTTGAGCCCACTGTTGGGGAAGTGCTCCAGCCACCTGAGTCCCATCCTATGATGGCTGGGAGTGCTGCTGGGCCAAGTTCTGGTAGGAAGCGCGTCAGATTTGGCCTCCCTGAAGGTCTTGAGCCAGATGATGTGTACATGGCTTATCTTCAGATCTACTACCCCCAGTACTACATTCCCCCAAACTAATTGAGCAGCGTAAATTCTTAACCCTAACTATTTTTTGGTTGAATTTTGGTTAATTGTGGTTTGGATTGTTGTTTGGCTTGAAAACCCTAACTGTTGCATGTTGATGGTGTTGTATATTGGCTTTGTACCATTTTACTGTCGATTTTGTTGTTGATGGTTAATGCTATGAGTTAGAAGTTGATGATTGATGTTCTAATTTAGTTGTTGATGGTTGAGTCCCTTGTGGTTATCTGTTTTGGCCTTGTAATTATGCTTTTCTGAGTGATTCTACACTGATTATGCACAGGTTATGCTTAATTGATTATGGTTACCATTTTTTAGCTATCTGGGTTACAAGTTGTTGTTGTTGGAAAGTCTTTCTTAATTGAGTCCCATGCAGTTAACTGACTATGTACTTATCTCCCTGTATTTGGCTTCTTGTTGGGTTCATTTGAGCCAAATTGTGGTTGTGTTGGTGCTGATCAGCCACCTTAGATGGCCTATTGGTTGTTCTGTTGTGATGCCTTGAGTCCCCTGTTCTTGTTATGGTGTTATGCATTGAGTCCCTTGCCCCTAATTGCATCTAAGTGTGTAATATCCAAATGATGAAGGGACTCATCTGATAGCTATTTGAGTAGGTTGGATGCTTTGGTTACCTCTAATTGGGTTTCCATTGAGGTACCATAACTAATTGATGCTTTGACTGAAAATAAAGCCCTTTCTGATGGAGTTTGTGTACAAAAGTGTTGGTTTTTTCATTAATTTCAAAAGGGTGTCATTTTTACAAAACACTACTTAACTTGTATACATGACTGCCTAAGAATGTGACCTAAGTATTTACCAAAATACACCTAACCAGTATATAAACAAAGCAAAAGATAAGTTTAGGTTTTACTGGTTATGTGTGGAAGTCAATGAGTTCCCCAAAAGCTCCCTTGCATCTTTGTTGTATTCAATCTACATCCACTTCCATATGTGCTTCATCTTGACCAGTTGTTGGGACTGATATTGTGTTCAGATACTTCACCACATTTGCAATGAGTTCCCTGTCAACTTCTAGTAAACCTGGAAGTATGCCTAGTCTGTCCAGTCTTCTCTTCTTCATGTGTGGTGGTGTGTAGTTGTTCCCACCCTGCCTTGCTAGTACTTCAACCATATGCATGATTGAAGTGTGATCCATGTGCACTTGTTTAGAGTAGGATCAAATTCTGCAAATGCTATGTCCACTTCCTTGATAAGATCATCTAAATTCTTAGGAAATGATTGGTATTGCAGTGATTGAATGACATTGAAGAGTCCTAAATGTAAAACATTCATGTGCAGCTATAATGTAAAACAAGCGACTATGCTGGTTGAAAAATAAACTGTATGTTGAAACTATTGGCTTGTGTGGCTACTTGGAATTCTGGATCTTGTGGAACCTGATGTGGTCTAGCATTATCCCACTGGATGGTAATATCCTTGGGCAAGTGTGAAGGCCATTGCTCATGTAGTGTAGGCAAGACATGGTTCAACAACATGTCCCTAATTGCTTCCTTATTTATACTATGCACAGCCTTTGCCTCTAATGTGTCCTTTTCTCTGTTTTTGCTGTTTTTCTCTGCCAACTCATACTTGAAAAACAGAAACAACCCATACTTCCCATCATGCACCAGATTTTTGTTTTCATCATACACTGGCTTTCCTATCATGCCCATAAACATGGCCTTGATCTTGAACCTCCTTGACTGTTGTGCTCTGTATAGGTCTTCCTCCTCAGGAAGAAGATAGAATGTCCTTGTTTCTGGGTTTATGTAAAACCACTTCTCATCAATGTGTATTACTTGTTGCATATCAATGAAGGTGGGGTCCCCTTCAGCTGGAATGGAATTGATATGACTAAGAAAACTCACTTCATTCTTGCTATCTTATGGTTATATGTTAGTGCTGGGTGATTTATGCTTGTGTGTGTTCTTAGTCTACCCTTTGTCCTTAACCTATGCAATGCTGACTTAGAAATATGAAGGGCTACAGCATAACCCCTCTCTGTGGTTCTCTTGTACAAAGGGACTGATGTGAAAAATTCATCAGTGTACTCTTTAGGTTTTGGACCAATTTTGCCTAATTTTTTTGTCCTTACATCCAACAACTCCCTCTTCTATGTGATTTTTAATTACCCGAAACCATCTTGTTGTTGTTGACCTGCTAACATGATGTTTTCTGGGCAAGTTGGATAAAAATCCTCTTGGTAATGAGTCCCCCTCCATGTTAAGCAAGATCTTATCAACAAGTTGCCTTTTTTCTTTTATTGTCATTTCCCTATGTTTCTACCATAGTTATGTGCTTGAGCATTATGTTCAGCATCATCATCAGCATCATAACCATCATCTGCATCTGAATTGTTGGCTTCTTGTTGTTCCATGTCTAGTTCATGATGAATTGGATCTTGGTATTCCATTTGTGCTTCTTCTATGGAGTGCTGACATGCTGCCATTGCTTGTTCCTTATCATAAAGCTAGTGTAAACCAAAAAAGAGTTCTTCAAAGAGCTTTGCCAAGAGTCCCTTGCCTTTTGTTTTTTTTTTGTTTTTTTTTTCAAGATGGTTAATGGTGATGAAGTGACGGCTAGAGTTTTTTGACGGTCTTCAACGGAGCCCAAATTCAGTACATATGGATGCTGCTTTTGATTAACACAACAATTAGAATTTAGGCTAATTATGCACTAACTGTAGGTTGATGTAATTTGTAGGCTGCCTTGTTTTGTAAAGCTTAACCGGTTCTCTTTTGTTTAAACAATACTTATGGTATCCCCCCCTCCCTAATCCCTATTGAAACAGGAAGTAACATTATGATGGCAGATTTGGAGAGTCCCCTTTTTATAAGGGGGCTTTTGATTTGAATTTGATGAATAGTAAAAATTGGGGGAATTTGGTACTATGTTTGAATTTTCAGTGAAAAAAAAGGAGGGAACAAGTTGAGTACCAAAATTCACCCCTCCTTTTAACAAAACAGGAACTTTTGGGTGGGAAAAAACCCACCCAACCCAAAAGGGCCCCACCATTTAAAAAATCAGCAAATTTTGAGTGGGAAATAACCCACTCAAAAAATATTCCCACTTGTTTTACTTTTCATAAAGTTGAGACTACAACATTTCCCTCCATTTTAACTCACCTAATTACTTACCCTTACCTTTCATTAAACCCCCTTAAAAGTTTTGCCTAGAAGTCCGCAAAACTCCTCATTGTTGCAAGTAACTTGAACCGGAGGTAGTATATATATATATATATATATATATATATATATATATATATATATATATATATATAATAATAATAATAATAATAATAATAATAATAATAATAATAATAATAATAATAATAATAAAGGGCTTGTTCGGTATTACGGTTAGTTTTCAATTTTGGTTTTTTAGATTTTAGAAGTTGTATAGTATGGCTTGTATAATGAGCTTAAATTAGTCTGCTTGAGCTAATCGTGTTAGTTTTTGAATACTAACAATTGAAAACTGAAAACTGATTTTCTTGTTTTCATGTTTTTGTTTTGAAAAAACTTAAAATCAGAGGAAAAAAGAGCCCTAAATTAATAAAGAGAAAGAGTGAAAGGAAGAAATGTGATGAGTATCAATCTACTGAAAGTCGATTCCAATATATATGGAAAAGGGTACAACACAAACAAAATTAAACCAAGAAGTAAAAAAATAAATATGACTTTTGTATGAGGTTCTAAAAGTCTATTAAAATTAAATTTTAGTTAAATTAATACATTTAATTGACTCGTGTATGTGGCTCAAAAGGTCTACTAAAACTAAAATTACTTTGCATTGGTTAAATATCTGAATTGGCATCAAACTAGGTTTTGTAAACAATCCATTACTCACTCCAATTCCTACTTTTTATTTTTCTAATTCATTTTCTTTTTGCAGTTTTCAATACACATGTTTGAATATAGATATTTTTAACTATGCATTATAAAAAAAGAGAAGGTATTGTGTGCGGACTACAATACACATAATTACGTGCGGCAGGCTTGGCTGATATGTTTCATTTGTTGGCTAATATGTTTCATTTGTTGGCTGATATGTTTTTTGTGTTGGCTGATATATATTCTTTTTGTTGGCTGATTTTTTTTTTGTTAATGTTTGATATGTTCCTTTTGTTGGCTGCTATCAGACATCAGTTGACAGATATGTTTCTTTAATTGGTTGATATCTTTATTTTGTTGGCTGATATGTATATTTTGTTGGCTTATATATGTTTCATTTTGTTGGCTGATATATGTTTATTTTGTTGGTTATCATGTTGCTTTTGTTTGCTGATTTCATCCTTTTGTTGGCTGATATGTTCCTTCTGTTGGCTGATATTTATCTTTTGTTGGCTAATATGTTCCTTTTGTTGGCTGATATGTTTCATTTGTTCGCTGATATGTTCCTTTTGTTGGCTGGTACGTTTTGTTTAATGTAGGTCCCTAATGTTGACTATATCAGACATCAATTGGCTGATATGTTCCTTTTATTAGCTGGTATTTGTATTTTGTTGGCTGATTCACGTAATTAACCATTTATCCAACAAAAAATCAGATATATAATTATACAAGACCAAAAAGTTTAGCAATTTCACCAAACATCAAATTAATAGCGTCACTCACCATGTCCATAATTCCTTTCTATCTCCTAAAACCTCCAAAATCAAAATTCATCCTCCATAATTCAACTCTCTTATCCTCTAAACTTCATTCTTATTCTTCTCTTTCATCCTATAATATTAATTTCTTATCTACTAATACCAAATTGAGAGCATCTTTAAGAATAATTTCGCAATTGAATTTGAGTTACCCAATCATTTCAGCCCCATTCTCACCAGCAACCACCACCGTCAATCGCACCGCAATCACCAACTCCTCCACCTTGCAGCAACCGCCCAGTCATCGTTATGTCGTCGTCATCATCGTTATCATCCAAATTATGATGGGTTTTGAGCGTCATCGTCGTAATCCATCATCGGAGTCAGAGTTGTTGGTTGATGCTTTAGCAGCTGTATCATGGATGATATGTATCTCGTCGCACGAAATATTGGGTGTGGACTGCCCGTACCCAATAGCTTATGTAAAAAATGATAAGAATATATATATTTTGAAACCACACAATAAACATTACAAGAAAAATAACTTTTCGTAGCAATTATTTTAACATTTTGTATCCATTGTAATTGCTACAAAAAAAAAAAAATCCCAACAAATGGTTATTCGATACAATATCCGCCATTACCATAGCCTTTAGTAGTGTTTTTCGCTTTTGCTGGGGTTGTCCTACATGTGATGTATACAAGATTCGAACATGCAACCTCAATCTCTAATATTAAATGTTTATCCAATAAGCTATGATATATTTTATGTTCTTTTTGTCAAACAAAATTTTAAAATCCAATGTAAAAAAGGGTTTTCATATCAATTTTTGGGTTTTAGTGGCGATTGTAAATGATACGTTTTTTCATAATTTTATAAATGTGAAGAAAAAAGGTGAATAAATATTGTTATGTTTTTCGTATCGATTTCATATGGGTTTTTTATGTCGATTGTATAATGATACAGATTCCTCTACTATTTCACAAACATATATGTATATTGTAGCGAATGTACAATCGCTACGGAAAGACAATTTTTTTGTAGTGAAGACAAATCTGCTAAAACCCCGCACAAAGATGTTTTTTCTTATATTCATGAATAAAAAATTGTTCATAAATTTAAGTTTCACTCACTCCAACTTGAAGATTCCATGTAGCATTCCAAAAATAAACGGGGAGATCGAGTACAAAACAAAATCTATATCAAATTATCAATCAATAACTTGGTACGTATTTTTTGACACAAAAGATTCTTAACCAGTTTAATTTGATAATTTGCACAACATTGGTATACAAAAAACATATACAATCGTGGTAATTTAATTAACCTTGAGCGTAGCACCTACATATATAGATTTTCTTATGTTTTTGTCATTTTATGTTTTCACTTAACAGAACAATTATCTAAGTGACTAACACTTCATTCACATTATTTAGTTGCATGCCTATATATTTCTCTTCGTTGTCTTCATGCTCATGTAGAATTAAGGAGGGCTAAAAGCATGTGCTTGACACTTGAGGGCTAAATTAGTATTTTTAAAAGAAATTATTGTGAATTAAATTTAAGTAATAAGATGAAAAAATTACAACAAAAATGATGGTAAATATATTATAGTATTGGTTTGGGTATTCAAATTGTTTTAAAAACTACTCTAGCTAATAAGGATGATCTATTTAATTCTTTGGGAAAATTTCATTTACAATTTGCAGTCACCCTTATACTATATTGATCATATAGATAATTCATATCGTGCAAATACACATCGAAACAAAAATAACAAGATTACACATGATAATTTTTTTTTTTTTAAAATATAAGAATTGTACCTTGATTTAAATTTAAAAACAATAACTAGAAATCAATATAAAACGAATGGAGTACTAGTTCACCCTTCCTTGATATAGTTGCGCTCCACTTTGTTTTACCTTGACTTGTACTCTTATTTTATTATTATTATTATCATCATTATTATTATTATTATTTAAATAGAGCAACATAACGAACAAAATTGACAGAAATCAAATAAAAAAAAAAAAAAAAAAAAATTATATCGCTTTGACTAGTTTAGTTACTCCACACACTTTTTCTTATATATTTATTTTACAATTGTATATGAAACATAGGCAGGTAGCGTATCATATTCATACAACATCATATCTCAGTTCACCAATTGAATGTCATTATTTTTTCAAATCCAAAAAATAAATATTAAATAAAGAAGATAAACAAAGACGTGCACCACACAGGCACATACTACGTAGTACATAATTTCGTTCTTAATTAATGGTAGCATTTTTTTGTAACCATTAAAAAAAAACTTAAAAATATAATTATGATTTAATTCAAGCATAAACTTGAGGGTTGGCAATGAGATGGTCTTCAATAGCCTTAAACATCATTTGAATTCCTTGTTTAGCACTTTGAATTTCCTCTTCATCCATAACATTGTCTCCCTTCATATGGTAGTGTGCTACCATCTTGTAGTGTGTTCCGGTGCCTGAAGCCTCGTATTTGTTCTCATACACGGCACATTCCAACGTATCGGGAAATATATCTCCTTCAATGCTTGTATACTTGAGGTACAAGTTATTACAATCGATTTCGTCCACTCTAGTTTTCACATATCTGTATGGAGCCTCTGCATACATAATTGATCATCATAAATTTTGTCAAGATTATTATGTTTGATGATAAAATGATAACCATAATTATAATCTCATGATCCTTTAATCTAAACATATATATTATTTTTATCCATTTCACAATGACCCTTATTTATATGGTTATTGTAGATAGACATTATCGCGTAAGGAGCAACTAAGATGATCATTATGGAGTTACAATTTTGTTTAATTTAATGTTGTTAATTAGATTTGAATCGAAGTAAGTTGATGACCCGGTTTGTAAGAAAATTGTAAATATTTTGAAATGATAATTATCTAAAAATTTATATTTAAAAATAAAATTTTAATAAGAAATTTAAGTTTTGGTTGGAAAAATAATTATATACGAAATACCATACAATCTAAGCTAGGTGATGAAGTTGTGAAGATCTAAAACATGACATATATTTCCTACACTCTCCTTATGTTTGCCGTTTTGCCCCATAAAAGTATGTTAATTATATTTAGTTTTTATTTTTTTTAATAAAACTATATTAAGTTTTAATTTGGTTGAGTTGAATTTTTAAAAGAGAATTCATTATGGAATTAAAAACATCATATTTGACTAAGTGAGACAGAGAGTAAAGTAGTGATTTCTTATGACCATTTATGACATGACGAACTCAAAATGGACAACTAAGGAAGAAAAATGGAGCAAATAAGATGGGACAGTAATAAGAATCAAGAAGGGAAGGGGAAAATTAGTTGTAAGATAAGATAAACTAACCATCGGGGAAGTTGATATTTTTGACGCAACCAACAGTAGTAGAGTCGCCTTCAACAAACTCGACAGATTTAACAAAGTGAGGCACAACCTTTGGCAAGAAGTTGTGGCTGTCAATGGACAAAGCATTGAACAACCGGCTCGGGGCGACAACGCTATCGAAGTCGGCCAACGTGCAAGTTATGACACCCATGATTATAGTGTACGTTTTTCTAAGATCGAAAATAAACTAGCTAGTGAATTTCAGATGATGAGAGAAAAATGGATGATGCAAAATAGTGAGAATTTGTTTTGGTATTTATAATGGTTGAGAGACTAAGTAAAAGAAAATTTAGTTGGTAAGAAAGCAAAAGAAGTTGCCTATTTATTTCCTAAGTTTTTTCAAAGTCTTTATTGTTAGTCTTGATTTGTTAGAGCAGCCCTTTGTAGAATACATGATGATGGAATTCTAAAAGAAGCAAAGATTAGGCGAAGTTAATTTAGAAGAGTTGGTGAGAGCACAAGTGTGTATGTGTTGTAAGAATTCCACATAAAGATAGATGGTTGACTGTGTATTATTTTGGAAAATTTGCCATTATATGACTAAATAATGCACGTTTTTAATTTTAACTAATTTATTTCAAAAAATTATTATTATTATTATTTTTTTTTTTGGTTTTCTCTAAAAACAAGGGAGCCCAGTTAATCTTCCAGATTAACAAAAATCATTTATCTAGTTACATTTCTATAAATAAATCAACAAAATATCTCAGTCAGCATGACATTTTCATAAATAAATCAACATTTGCGAGACCCGCATTTAATAAAAGCTGCTGATTTATTTACAGAAATGTCACTAGATCAGATAAACACTTTTTTGTTTATCGTGAACATTAAGTTGTATTTTCTCGAAAAGTACAGCAGTGTAACTTTAGGAATTAGGATACACATTGATATTTAGGTTTAATGTTCTCATTTTTTTTATTACTTGCAAACATGAGTCTTTTGTACATAAATTCTGTCCGGTAATTGATGTGTCTATTTTATATAGTGTTTTACTCCCGTCCCTTGGTCATAATTATGAGTATTTTTGACTATTCGAAGTTATTACTAATATGCTTTTTCCAATTTTTTCGTAGATTTAGTATTATTTTATAGGAAATTGTGGATTTTGAGTCATTTCCCGAGATTACTTAGCCACTATGACCATTGGACAAGAAGCGCCACGTATGACCAGTGTCCAAAGCCCATTACCAAGCTAGGAGTTACGAGCCCGGTGATTAAGGGCTCGACGAAGAAGGAGAACCCGAGATTTGTGACCATCTTTAGCAAGTTGGGTTAGCCTTAATAGCATTGGACCGACATTCTAACTCCAAGGGAGGAGTTGAGATTGGGCCTAGGAGCATCGCAAGCCCAATACGAAAAGAGGAGGCAAGGAAGCCCAAGCCGAAGCCCGGACTCCTGCTCGGTGCACTCGCTCGACCGGGCGAGATAAGCTACCTGAAGACCCAAAAGCGCACCTGGCCGGGCGGTGGGTCGCCATGCCGGGTGCGCATGTATTCACTAGCTTTTTAGCTTGTTTTTATTATTTTTATTTTAGGAAAATTTTGCTTAGTATATATACGTTTTTCTAAGCGTAATTTAGCACGTCTTTCATCAACTTATTCCAGATTTTAGTTTTAAAGATTCTCTAGTTAATTGTTCTCTCAACATTGTTTTTCATTCGTGTATGCAATTCATAGTTCCTTTCCTTTCGGTAATTATTTTTCCTTTTTACTTCTCATAATTTTATTTCTTGATTTAATTATGCTTTCTTTAATTGCTTTGATTAGTTTAGGTTTTTTTTTTTTTTTTTTTTTTTTTTTTTTTTTTTTGAATGGATGATTAGTTTAGGTTTAATTATGAGTGAGTAGTTTTCTATCTAGGTATTTGAGATCCGTGAATAAATTGAAGGGATGATCTATTGTTGTTGATTGTTAATTTTATAGATTAATTTTCTATTATTGTTATAATGCTATACAATTAGATTTGTCCAGGTTTAATTGTATGAGTTATGCAGTATTAATTCAAAAGTCGAAAGATGAGTTTCAATATTAAGGCTATGTTGGGAGCGGATTCTAGTAACCTACAAATTAGGAAAAGATCAATCAAAGGATCAATTATAGAATACAATATTTGACTTCAATTATGCCGTTTCGGGGTTTTTTTGATGTCCTTCGGGAGAGTTACAATTCCGAGACTGGAACCGGACGCCTGTACCTGCAAAACAAACGGATGCTCCGAATGATTGGAGATCCGCCTCCAACGGTCAAGTTAGTACTTGATTAAGGAGTAATTAATGCGGAATATGATGTAATTTAGTCTCTCTAGGTGAGAGTGTTTAATGTGCGTAATCCGCCTTAATGAGGATTAATGGGCATATTTATATACCTCGGGATGCGTGCCATTACTAGGTTTAGGTTAAACCTAAGGCTGACTGGGCTTCCCACAAAGATTGGGCCTTGTTGGCTGATTTACCCATTTGGCATAGATGGACACGTGTCGCGTCGCAATTGGTCCATGGAGGACGTATCTCTGGCTGACACGTGGCAGGCTCCCATTGGCCTACGTAAAGGACACGTGGCAGAACCTGGTTGGTCCACATGTCGGATGGTGATTGGTGGATAAAAATCCCCTAATCATTTTCCCCTCACAGGTGGCGCGTGACTGGTCACGTGTTACCTGTGACAGGTGTCGCACCGTAACAGGCGACAGCCTGCTACATGTGTCACTCGGTGAAAGGCTGAGAGATTTTCCCGCCAAAATTTTGAATTTGGGAGTGACCCTTCGCCTTCTCATTTTGCCTATATAAGGATGTGTTGACTTCAGTCATTTTCACACTTGAGAACTTTTGAAGAGAACATTCGGACCCTTGAACTTGCTCTGACATTCCGGACTCTTTCTGCCTACCGCCTGCTCTGACAAGTCGGCTACTCAGAATTTTCAGAACTTCGTCAACTTCACTCGTTCAGGTAACCGTCGGTTCTCTCACTCTTTTAATTTTTATTTATTTTTTCCTTTTTGAAATGGCACAACGGAAGCACACGACACAACCTAGATTAGTGATCAGCCGGTCACCGGGGACGGCTGAATCTAGGACTAGGAGTGCCGCCTGCCCTTTTCCGAACCAGTCTTTTCCCTCTATACAAAGTCCGACTGTCTCTGTGTCTATGCAGAACATAATGGCCAGAACAAAAAGAACTGCTAGGATCTCGAACTCGGACGGCTCCTCCTACCGGATGCCGATTAGTGAAACATCTGACCAGGCGCCAGATGCTGAAGTGAACCAAGGCGGCTTGACCGCCGACAGCTCTGAGGGAGGGGTCAAGGTAGTCCCTTCCCACTTTACAGTTGACATGTCTACATTTTCTCCCGCTCCTATTGATGGAGAGGAGGCGGGCCCCTCTGGGAGAGGAGAGGAGTCGTCCTCTTCGGGCTCGTCAGAGGACGAGTCCGAGTCTAGTTCTTCTGGTCATACTTCTCTAGACACAGAAGAGAAAAACAACCGCCTACAAGAGGCGACGCTTTCTCACGCAGTTGAGAAGGGGGACAATTGGGCGGAGCCGTCCGCCTCTTACAGAGAGCAAAATACCCATTACTACTGCACTGTCCCAAAGGGCCGGATCAAGGCCATGCAAGAGAAGGTGGGGAGCTTTATTGCGAACCACACAATGGGCCCCGACTTTTTAGTTTTTGTGCCGGATCCAGAAGACACAGTCGTCTGGCCGACTGGTACTAGTTATGATAGCGCCTGCTTTGGCTGCTATGAGGCGGCCATCAGGGCTGGGCTGCGCTTCCCATTACATCCGGCTGTTCAGCGGATCTTGGATGGGTATGAGTTGGGGTTATGGCAGTTAGCCCCAAACTCCTGGTTCAACGTTCTCGGCTATGTGGCCGGGTGCGAACTGCACGGGGTGGAGCCAAACTTCGAGGCTTTTTCCCACATGAACTACCTCAGCCGGACCCCTAAGGCAGGCGGTACCGGCTGGTATCAATTGACGAGCCACAGAGGCTACCTCATGACAAGAGGTAAAGAAAATAAGTGGAAGGATTGGCGAAGCACCTTCCTTATCATTGAAAGTTAAGACACAGAGCTTAACAAGCGCTTCAATAGGTGGAACAGGGATCCGCCTCTTCTTGCAGGCGGTCGCAGCATGCCGCCTGTTCCTCCAAAAGCTAAGAAAGAGATCCTGGACAAAGGACTCTTTAAAGTAGAGTCGAGGGTCGACTCTACTACAGGGGTGCGAGAGCAAGTACCCCTGCACTGCGTCCCGAGCTTCAGATGGCTCTATGACGAGTACTTTTTGGCCGCCTGTGGCCTCAGCAGTCGGTGTTCAAGAGGTAGCCGGCCTGTCGAATACTCTCTTTTTCCATGCATTATTGCTTAACTTTTTATTAACTTTGGTATTTGTCCTTGCAGCGGACGCCATGAGCAAAATCACCGCTTCTAAGACAGCGGCGGCTATGTTACGAGCCTCTATCATGCAACAATCCTCTGCCGACTCCCCTAACAAGGAGGCGCCCTTGGTAAGTTCCAAGCCTTTCACCCTTTTTCCTTTTTGAAGTTGGGTTTATGCAGATACTGACCTTTTTTTTTTTTTTTTTTTTTTTTTTTTTTTTTTTTTTTTCCAGATGGGCACTCCAAGAACTTCTTCTTCCTAACAGCCGGACTCCAAAACCCGGAGGACGACTGTTGCGAGCTCCCCTGGCACTGCCAGGAAACATGCGGCGGTTGAGAAACAGCCGTCCACTCCTTCTCAAACTCTAAACAGGCCGCCTAGAAGTATGGAACTATCCTTATGCATTCGGACTTGCTTCCTTTTTACTATTTCTAACGTTTTTGTTTATGCTTGATGCAGCCGACCCTCAGGAACCGGACCTGCTCGAGGTGGCCAAGTCTATGATCAAAGCCGTCCCTCCGGCTGAGAGAGAGGCGGTCAGGGGTGTCGGCACCCTTGACCTAGACGGTATCGCAGGGGTCCTTGCTGAGGTATACTTAGCATATCTTTGTCATTTAAACTCCAGGACGCCTGTTTTTTGTTTGACAACTAACACCTGTTTCCTTTTACTCAGGCTCTACTCCGAGTGAACGGCCTTTGCAAGCCGCTTGATAGGAAGAACAAAGAGGTAAAGGCTGCTAAAGATATGGCCGCCTCTGACTGTGATAAGGCAATGTTTCAAATTGCCCAAAATGAGATTTTGACAATTGATATTCTTTATTATCAGGCGCAGGCTACTTCTGCTATTCGGACTCAGTTGGAGGCGGCCTAGAA